AACCTAACTCTCATATTCTGAGGCACAATGCAAATAATCATCATAAATCGTGATCAGACTGCAAGAAGCATGTCATATTTAGAAAAAAATATTCTCAAGTTATCCAGAAACCATGAGTTGTAAACCCTTTGGCTCGGTACTATGGATATTGCAACCCTTCGGCCTTGATTCCATGATAGATACCGTAAATCTGGGAGAAATGTGGCTTTTCTGCCTACACCCGAGCGTGAACCCGGACCACAAGGAGTTCGTCACCCAGTCACCACGCGGTCAGGTTTAACCAACTACGCTAGCGAGCCAGGGCACAGGTCATAAAAGGTGATGCCAGACGAGAGCTTGCACGGAGCCAAGTGAGAATAATAAACCAAAACACAGCTGCTGTCATGGGTTAGTCTTCTTTCTTTCTTTTGCCAATATCTGGTTTGTGCCGCTAGGTTCACAGTTTAACAAATGATAAGCAGCAGAGCCAAGCTGCTTGGTGCTTGTGACGTTGTGAGGTTTAAAACTGTCAGCTGCTCCTTGAATCCATCTTCTTCCAAGTGTGCCTCTGCCTCTTGGTGTTTCCACTGTCATACTGTATGCCCTTGCCGCCACTGGATTCATTCTCTTTCTTCCCCAAACAACTCACCACATGTGTGACTGGATTTTACGTGTGTAAACCACTCAGTAAGGTATTTATGTTTTATGTGATGTTTAGTAAAGGATTATTACAAACATTCATTAACTGGTGCCTGCGCAGAATAGAGGGAATTAAATGGTATGATAGAATAACTAATGTAGAACTTTGGGAGAGAACTAAACAGGCTCCAGTGGACCAAGAGGTGTGGAAAAGACGTTGGCGTTGGATAGGACACACACTGAGAAAACAGGAGAACAGATAACTAGAATGTCTTTGCATTGGAACCCACAGGGGCATAGGAATAAAGGAAGGCCAAAAAACACATGGAGAAGAGAGCTGGAGAATGAAGCTAAAAAGATGGGGAGAGCTCCATGCAATGGCAAAGGATAGAACGACTTGGCGTGAGTTGGTTGAGGGCCTATGCTCCATTAGGGAATAGAAAGGCAGAAGAAGAAGAAGAAGTGAAGGATTCTTCAAAAGAAACTCAAGACAATATATGTTTCCTTAAAGGATTGGGTATTTAACCCCTGTGGAAGCAGTATATCCATCAGTTTAGTGTTGTCATTATTGTCTGTCTTAAATATTAGCTACCACCTTCTGGGACTGAAAGAGTTAACCTCTTAAGTTCTCATATAATCTTTCCTATGTTGGTTTCTTCCCCACAGCCTGTCTCAAACAGAAGGGGATCTGAGCACAGACATGTGGTAAGGATGATCTTTCATTTGACTAATGATGCAAACCTCATGAAGAATCTCTCCATAAAAATTGGTATGATATGACAAACTAAAAACACACATAAATCATGTTACTAAAAATCATCAATATCAAACTGTACAAGTCAGAATCTTCCTTATGTGAGAATGCACAACATCAAAAGTCTGACAGTAAATCAACAAGACTTTTCAACATGCTCAAATAAATGCAGGATCACCCTTCTTCTGCTCATTATCCCCCAATGGAGCATAGGCTCAAAAACCAACTTCCAAGTCATCCTTTCCACTCCTAATGTATGTAGCTCACTCCATGTCATTTCTATCTTACTAACTTTGCTCTCCAGCTCCCTTACTTCTGAGATTTTCTTCACGTCTTGATTTATTAAAACTAATTCTCTTCTAAAGCATCATAGTAGTGATTATATACCATTTAGATCCCTTTATTCTATAGGGGTCTGCGTGGTCTCGAGGCATGGTGTCCGCCTCGAGTGCTGGAGACTGGGGTTCAATCCCCGGTAAGGGCAAGGATTTTTTTCACGTGGACTTGGACGTCTAGTAATTCCCCCGGTCTCTAGGCAGTGAGATTGGACGCCCGTGTGCATTGTTGCGCTAAAAAAAAAAATCACTTAGCAGTTGGAAATCGAAAAGAGTAGCCTTACGGCGCTGCCCGGGCAAAATTTGGAGTTAAAAATCTACCCAAAGTATTTCAGGATTCTTGCCAGTGCTACAGAGTCTGTGCACTGTGCTGAGCTGACTTGGACTCGAGTTAGAAGAAGAACGGAACACTTATGGGTTACTACCCATGTGCCATGATGTTGGTCCGTTGTTCAACTTTAAACTTCATTCTTTGCCAACACCAGTTAATGAATGAATGTAAGACTGGTGTCTAAATTATGTATACATCCCAGAAATGGGCTAGCCTATGGCTGTCTTGATCTGTATATCAATAAAAGATTGTACCAGCCTACCAACTGCTGTCTAGATCTTCAAAACATCCCTGAAAGACTTCGGACCAGCCTACTGTTGTCTAGATTTTGTAAACATCCCTGACAGACTATGGGCCAGCCTACTTTGCCCTGGATTATAACAACCAAGCCGCCCATAAAGTGCAGACTGATCCACACAAATAAAAGGCTGGCACTGTGTGCTATTTTGAATGTTGAATTAAGAATCAACATCATAGGACTCAGGAAACGTCCATAAATGCTTCATCCCCATCTTCAGCAGCAAGCCAAGAGTTCCGATGGGTCATAATATTTTTACCTTTAGATCCAAAACATCTGATTTCAACAAATTCTTAATTAGTCATCTTTTACCACATGCTTGTAGAGTGTAATGAGCCAGCCCGCCTTCCACACTTACTTCCCACATGGAGCCCTGGAACCCATCAGACGGAACCACTCTCCTTCTTTTTCTTTGTTTACCGGCTGTAAGCTCTGGCGGAAAGTCCTGGTTGTTCATCCATCTGGACTTCAGCTCTGTGTGTCAGGGCCTGAGTTTTGCGTGTGCATCTGTTTTACTGGCTTATTTGTGTGCTCCTTGCCAGTCTGGCAGATGCACTAAGACTTTGAAGTAAGCCCCCAGTTAGTTGACTCCTACCACATTCTTGTTGGGGAGGCAGTGGGTCTATTCTTGTTTTCCCCACAATGGGACCCCAGAACCCACACGGGCAGAATCACTCTAAAACAAGAAATGTCTGTACGGGCGGAATGTACCAAAGACAAAAATGTTGAAACACTTGAGTAGGTTAACTTTTAGCAGACAAACAAAGTATCAGCAACATAACAAATGACTTAATGTGTAAATAAACAGACTCTTTGGTCATTAAAAAAAGACTACACTACACATATACTAGGTAACCATCATCACTATGTGTATACACCGCTGGCATTGGTGACCATGCTTTGTCCCTGCATCAGCTCTCTAGCAGTATGAATCAAGTTCTCTGTAACCCATTCCATAATACAAGACTGCCCAGATTCTTCTGGAACTGCACTGCCATAGTTAATGCTCTTTCCTGCCAAGACAGTGGTCCAGGTTCAATTCCCAACAGCTAACGTTTAAAAAAATAAATCTCAAACAGTTCTGGAGTTGATCCAGCCTCATAGTGATTAATACCTGAAGACATCCCTGTGTGGGGGGGAGGGGGGAATTACCAGACCCACTGCTCCCTAACAAGCATGTCACACAAGGCAGGCAACTGATTAGAGGTGTATCCTTCAGAGTGCATCTTCCTGAGAAGCGAGGAACCAGCAGTCTGCACACAAATAAACCAGATCTGTAAAATGAATCTGCACACAAAACTCAAGTTCTGAAAGAAGACAAAAATCCAGAAGCTGACGAACAACCATAACTTTAGGCCAGAGTTTACAGCCAGTGTGAATACTAAGATGAAAAAGAAGAAGCAGATACAAGACATTTGTCCGAAATGCCTGTAAAATTGGGAGGGAAAGTCGGCAAGGAAGGCAACTGGTCACCCTATCCTATTATGCTATGACCTAGAACAAATGAAAACCTGACATTTCACATAAAGAGGAAATGCAGCCTGAAAACTTAATGTTATGGCAGACCAGGCCTTCAGTCTTGGCTGGCAGCTGGTCGAGGAGGGAGGCTCGGACAGGGGATCAAATGTACTAGTGCTACCTTTCCTCTAGAGTAAACAAGGCAGGCCAAGTGAGGAATCATGATGCATGGACATGGTCTCTAGAACCCTGCCCAGGATTTGTGCTGTGGAGAGGAGCGACTTCATTCCTGGCCTTAAGTGGTCTAAGAAACAAGCAGAGTGAGAGCACTTCATCATGTAGGAGGTCCTTTGCAGGACAACACCCCTATTACAGCCTGCCTGAAAGAAACCTGATTTTGAGGCAGCAGTTACATGTTATAAATCCTTGTCAACCGTTGCATCCCTATAGCACAACACTAACATATGGAAAGTCATAGAGTGCCATAGTTCATATAACACTTCAGACTCAGCATTTGCTATAGGACTAGTTTTATCTTTTGATTTTTAGCAAATATCTATTGTTGATGACGATGATAAATTTACAGATAAACTGAAGAAACTGACTCATGAAGAAAACTGATAGCCCACATCAGAAGAAGACAATATACAGTCTTTGGTCATGTCTTGAGAAGGAGAAAACTGGACTGCATCGTGAGGGGGCAAAGGTTGAAGGTGAAAGGAGGCAGAGGGAGATGGAGAGAGAAAATGCTGGACAGTATGACAGCACGGCATGGAGGATCATCTGTATCAGAACTGACTGAAAGTACACAAGGTAGAAGGTTGCGTAAAGACATGACCTCCAATGCCACACCGTATGAACTATAAAAGTTAGTTGCGTATCCTTTACAGGACGTTGCAGAACCAACCCTAACAGCCCCTGGCTGTTGTGTGGTTTCTCTAGGCAATTTACATCCAGTAGTTTGCCATTGCTTTCTGGACGGTCGGCTTTCTTGATACCACTGTCGAAACCAACGCAAGGCGCATTGCCCGCAGCTGGGATCGAACCTGGCATCCCGGCATTACGAAGCGAAGCGTTCGCATCGACTTCGCCACAGAGCCAACGTATGAACTATAAGAAGAAGAAACTGATGGCCGAACAACGATGATGAATACAAAGATAAATGTACATTTAAATTAACGGAAGACTGAACAATTATGCCGACAATCAAACATAAAATCTTGGTGTATGTACAGGGGCAGCATCTCTGGAGATCTCCGGGTAGTGGAATGCACTACCGAAAGGGGGAGGAGCCCATTCTCCAAGCCCACACGGGTAGCTTGTCAGGCGGTGAATGAGCTGCCGGGACAGGTGGTAGGCTTGGCTGCGCTCCAGGTGGGACAACACCATGATCACTTGCCTGTGGACAGGAAAACAGTCATCTAATGAGAACCAGACAACATGTGAGATGAAATGTTTACAAAATTCGGTGGGCAAAAACATAAACACAAAATTACAAAATGTGATGTGAAATGTATATAAGAAATGCAAACATCAACACAAAATTACATGTCAGATGAGATGTATGGTTTTATATCATGAAAATCACCCCATCTCTTTGGGCGTGAGATTTCCCACAGGCTGTACTATGTTCTAGAAGTATCGTGGTTATGTTATTTTCAGTGCTATAAGCATTCTTTTTTCAACGCTGTGAGTGGCCAGCACATTCTATTTTCCATGTTGTGAGCAGCTGGCACATTCTATTTCCATGTTGTAAGCAGCTGGCACATTCTATTTTCCATGTTGTGAGCGGCCGGCACATTCTCCTTTGCATGTTGTGAGCGGCCGGCACATTCTTTTTTCCATGTTGTGAGCGGCCAGCACATCATATTTTCCATGTTGTGAGCGACCAGCACATCATATTTTCTATGCTGCGAGCGGCTGGTACATTCTATTTTCCATGTTGCGAGCGGCCGGCACTGTGTGTGTTACCTGTCTTGTGTTCGTTCTTCATCGCTATCAGTGCAGCCTTACTTGGTGACCTGACCCAGGGCCCACAGCAAAATGTCAACAATTCTCAAACCAGCAACAACTGCACAAGAGACTCGAGTGACAGAGAACAGAAAACTAGTTGAACACTGGCTCATTCACAGAGAAAAACAACAACAACAGTCGCTTAATGTTGCTTGCCAGGTAACAGAGCTCTACCCTTTTGTGCTGGGCATTCTGAAATCTGTGACGTCTGCAAAAGAGACTTGAGTGACAGAGAAAAGAAAACTAGCTGAACACTAACTCGCACTCACACAAACCAGTCGTTTATTGTCGCCTGCAACACAAGAGAGCTCCACATTTTCATGTCGAACAAACAAGAGACATTGTTCAGCCTGCTGTGTATAGACAGCGAGTGTGAAGGAACGCATATCCTTACACACCTATAGTGTAGTAGAGCCTATGGGAACCACCACGGCATGAATGGGAGCCGGCAGGAAATCTCTGCCCTAAGAGATGGGGTGATTCTCGTGATATGTACCAACATATATAAGAAATGCTGCAGTGAAAAAAACCCCACAAAATTACAACATGTAAGATGGAGATGTATATGAGAAATACGACAGGAAAAAATATAAACACATAATTACAATATGTGAGGAGACGTATATAAGGAATTCAATAGGGAAAACATAAACATTAAATTACAACATTTGAGATGAGATGTATATGAGAAATACGACAGGAAAAAATATAAACACATAATTACAATATGTGAGGAGACGTATATAAGGAATTCAATGGGGAAAACGTAAACATTAAATTACAACATCTGAGATAAGATGTATAAGAGATGTAGTGGCAGGCACAATAAGAGGCAGAGTCACCAAACAAAAAGCTAAAAATAACAAAGTCACAGTACCTGTGAATGATTTCATATTCATACAACACCAAAAAATGAAATGGTTTGGTGATCTTCAGAATGGGAACAAAATCAACCATCTAGAGAGTACTACATGAGAGCAGCATTCTACAAGGCAGGAGGCCAACCAAGAAAGAGATGGACAGAGGGAGTGAAAGAGACACTACAGAAACGCAATAAGGCATTAACACAAGCTACACAACCAGCAAAAGAGAGGAAACTACAACAAACTCCTCTTTGTGATGCTTTATGACACATGAAGTAGGATAAAAGATGAAGAAGATAATTTGCACCGGGTTTTAAAGGTTTAAATCTATGGAACAACACCAGAAACCTAAGGCAAAAATGTCAAAAACATGTATGGCACAGTTTTAAAAAAAAATACCAGGGCTCCCAGGTCGACTGGGTCTGAAATTGGTACCAGAAAATGTTATTAGAGGTAAAGGCAGCCAGCACTTTCAATGACCACTTCATCTAGTCTAAAAATACTGGTGACTAGCATCATACAGCCTACATGGCATATGGATAAGAAACAAGGGTTCCTAATTTATAACGTACCCCAAACATGAAATTCCCGTGGGAATTCCACAGCTGACCTGACAGTCCATTATTTCAAGGGGTGCAAGTGTGCTGTTGTGTGCTGCTGTTTTTGAGTGTTCATCTAGTGTCTTATGGTGTGACATATTTCTGTCTGTTGGTGCACAGTTGGCTGCTTGTTGATGCGCAATTGGCCAGTCTACAATATTAAATGGAGAGAAACCACAACCTGAACACCCTGGAATTTACTGGGAGTATCTCCTGTGACGTCATTGTGACATCAGGGGTACATTATAAATATAGAACTGAAACATGTCCTTGACTTGGCTTTTGTTCATTTCCAACATGTTTCATGAAATCTTCTCCTCTTCTTCTTCTTCTTCGTGTCCAGTGGCTGTCAACACTGGCAAAAAGTTCTAGTTGTTCCTTTACTTCAGGATGTTGGTCTAGTCCCTGAACTATAGTTCTGCGTGCACACCCATTTTACAGAACTACCTGTATGCAGACTGCAGGTTCCTCATCTCTCAGATGCACTCTGACTTTGTTAGTCACATCCCATGATTTGCTTGTTAGAATGATGAGAATGTTAAGTAATCCCGCTTATGAGAATGAGTATGAGGTACATTAATAAGTGATGATTGTCAGAAGCTTGCAGACTTAGCAAAGAATAGCAAGATAAAACTGAGAGAGAAAACATCAATGATCTCAGACAGAGGAACACAGGCATCCAGCACAGACCCACCTGTGGTGTGGGGGAATGACATCAGCAGCCTCCAGCGTGCCACGCGTGGAAACAATGTTGACGCTGTTCACACAGTTACACTGGACATGTGCCCAGGAGTTTGGCAGCAGGTTTTCCACAACGATAATGCTGCCTGCCCAGCCGTTCATCAGAGTGTATGCGTTAACTCCTCGTCTGAGCTGAGAAAAAAGTATTATAAACCATCATGAAACTGCTGTAGGGATGAGAGTGAGAGTGGCAGAGGACTGTCAATAAGGGTGGCACAAACAGTGATAATTGCAGAGACACAGTGGGAAAGTCAGAGAGCGAAGTGGAGAGTGAAAGTTGCTGAGAGCAGAGAGAGACAGAGAGAGAGAGGAAAAAAAAGAGAGAGAGAGAGGGGGGAGAGAGAGACAGAGAGAGAGAGAGGAAAAAAAGAGAGAGAGGGAGAAAGAGAGAGAGAGAGGAAAAAAAAGAGAGAGAGAGGGGGGGAGAGAGAGACAGAGAGAGAGGAAAAAAAGAGAGAGAGGGGGAAAGAGAGAGAGAGAGAGAGGTAGAGAGAGAAAGAGAGAGAGGGTGGAGAGAGAGGGGGGGAGAGAGACAGAGAGAGAGAGGAAAAAAAAGAGAGAGAGAGGGGGAGAGAGAGAGAGAGAGAGAAAGAGAGAGAGAGAGAAGAAAAAAAAAGAGAGAGAGAGGGGGGGGGGGAGAGAGACAAAGAGAGAGGAAAAAAAAGAGAGAGGGGGGAAAGAGAGAGAGAGAGGTAGAGAGAGAAAGAGAGAGAGGGGGAGAGAGGGGGGAGAGAGACAGAGAGAGAGAGGAAAAAAGAGAGAGAGAGGGGGGGGGAGAGAGAGAGAGTGGGGGGGGAGAGAGAGAGAGAGAGAGAGAGAAAAGAGAGAGAGAGGGGGAGAGAGAGAGAGAGAGAGAGAAGTAGAGAACAGTGACCAAGAGTGGCTGACATAGACAGTAATAGCGGCGTACTGAAAGTGGCAGAAAAGACAGTGGCAATATCAGAAACAGTGTTTTGTCTTTCCTAAACCTATAAAATATATGAGAGGTTTATTTCTTCCATCACCTCTTTATCCACTGCTTGCTGTTCTCAAACTTTCTTTCAATGAACTGCATCTGTGAAACCTGATGAGGAAACATCAGGAAACCTGGTCTATAACATATGGTTCTAACACCATATGGCTGATGTGGCAGTGGTGTGAAAGAGGTGTTTTATGATGCTGAGGTCTCATGCAAGAGACCAAGCTTCAAATCTTAGATAAGCTGTGGATTTTTTTCTGTCCGGAGAAAAATAAAAACGTTAACCTGCATAGTCCGTGGTGACAGTATTAACCAGGCGGCCCTAAATACTCAGATTCAAACAGACCCCACACCACCACAACTAGTAAATACTGGCAGTAATGGTAGATTTGTTTTCATAACTAGAATAAATTAACTATTCTCATGCTTAACTCTTGCAATCTGAGAAATCTTCTTGTTGTACATCATGGGTCAATCTGCTTCTTCTTATTCTTCACATTCACCGGCTGTAAACTCCGGCGGAAAGTTTTGGTTGTTCGTCCACTTCTGGACTGCAGTCCTGTTTCAGAACCTGAGTGTTGCATGTGCATCCATTTGATAGATCTGACTCATTTGCATGGTTCCTTGCCTCTCAGGCATATGCACTCTGACTTCGAAGGAAGCTCCCAATTAGTCGACTCTTACGACATGCTTTTTTTTTTGGTAGGCAGTGGGCCTGTTCTTGTTTTCCCTTATAATAGAGCCTTATAACCCACATAAGGAATGGGTTAATCATATTTACAGTCATCACTGACCTCTTCCTTGGTGCCTTTTACCACTGCCAGTTGAATCAAGGTGTCTGCTAGGATATAAGGTCCCTTATAGAGATTGTCCTCAACCATGACTTTCTTGGAACTGTGAATGGACACCACATAGCTCGGCGGAGCAGATTCTATATAAGGAAGTAAAAAACAGACAACAATTTTATACAAAGAGTACTTCCCTTTTTTAAAACATTTGAAGAAGACAGAGATAGGTAATAAGCAAAGACATGGAAGTAACTTCAACAGGTGGCAAAGGAACTGTGGACTTACCAGAAGATGGTTCAGTATCTATTTTTCTCTGGGAGACAATTGCTTCATTGTAATCAATTGCTACTGTAGTATGCACTTAGCGAGATACAGTGAAATATCTTCTTCTTCGTCTCTTCCACCTTGTATCTCTTTGAAGTGTCAGGAGGAGATGTAACATTCGTTGATGGGTTCTATCAAGAGCACTATTAAGACTGATGTTCATTTCTGTAAGGCTGTTCTTAATGATATTCACTCCATATTTTCCGAGGTCTTCCACTAGCTCTATACCCGTTGTAACATTTTAGTGTGGCAAGTTGTGGCAGGTAGTACCAGGGCATTCTTGCAAGAAATATGCCAGGCAATAATCTGTGTGTGTGTGGAGCATTTTTATCCGCTACCACTGGATAAGGCTACGACTGGATAAGGCTATGACTGGATAAGGCTACGACTGGATAAGGCTACGACTGGATAAGGAGGAGAGTTAATGCTTTAAAAAAATACTCACAACCAGATCCAGATCTGATCTTTTGAATTAGAGACAGATGTTGTATCTCTCAGCCATTCTGAGCTCAAAGAAAAATTTTGAGGGAAAAAACACACACACACACAAAATGCAAACTTAACTCTTTGAGTCCCAGGGGGTTTAGCATCACAGGCCCAGGGGGTAGTATAGAAAGTAATAAAATTGGCGCATCATGTGTTCATTGGGCTTCTAAGTAGGAACCTATGAACGTATGATGCGTTCCTTGGGACTCAAAGAGTTAACAAGAAGAAACAAAAACCTACCCCTGCTATCATTCCAGTGACTGAAAGCCATGGGCACAAGAATGTACTGTCCAGGGCTGAACATGTGATCACAGCCAACAAAGCCCCGAAGCTGGCGCTGACTGTGTGTCACTATCTTTCCTACAGACACCCTGTCTGGATCAAGGCTCTCATGTAACACCACAATACACAAATCTAGGGGGTACCTGGAATAGTCCCCTCTGAAACGAAGATGTTTTCAAAGAACGTTTTAAAACAATGTGATACCTGGAACAGTTCCCTCTGAAACAAAGATATTTTCAAAGTACATTTGAAACAATGTGATACCTGGAACAGTTCCCTCTGAAACAAAGATATTTTCAAAGTACATTTGAAACAATGTGATACCTGAAACAGTTCCCTCTAAAACAAAAAAATTTTCTAAGTATATTTTAAAACAATGTGATACCTGGAATAGTTTCCTCTGAAACAAAGACATTTTCAAAGTATATTTTAAAACAATGTGGTGCGTGAAACAGTCCCCTCTGAAACAAGGCCAATTTTTAAAAAAACAATCTAAATACATGGAAGTGTCTTCTCTATATCAAGAATAGTTTGGAAGTACATTTTAAAACATCTGGTACCTGGTACAGTGTCCTCCATTTAAAACAAGAATATTTTTGAAGTAGACTGAAAAAAATGGTGGTACCTAGAACACTCCCTTCTGAAACAAGAATATTTTCAAAGTACATTAAAAAAAACAACTAAATATGTGCCAAACAAATGTGTGTTGTCTCCACAAGGAAGGTTGGCTGCAGTGCACCGACCGCTGTCTTTGGGAATAATCTGTGAAGAGGCCAAAATCTCTTCCCCTGTGTGATTCTTATACCACACTGTCTGAAAGCCACTAGGATAGGCCACTTGAAAACAAAAAAAAAAAAAAACAACATCTACTAAGGAAATTAAACCCCTGTACATCTATAATCGTCAAAATGTGTAACACATTCATTATCCTCTAGCAGAAAGTTAATTTAGAAATGCTGTAAAGAAAATGTGGCAGGTATAGCTTTATCTGTATAATATATGTATGAGGCTCCTTTTCTGGTCAACAAATCTTTACCTAGGGCAGACGGGACTTTAGATCTTTCTTATAATTTAGAACTCTTTCCTTTTATCTTAACTTGTGATAGTTAACAGTCCCTCCTTTTCAGGTACTCTTACCTGGAACCTTCTTGAAACAATCCTAGTTCAATCTGTGTTGTTGTGAACACTGTGAGACTGATCACTTTTGGTTGGTCAGCACCATTCCTGGGAAAAGCTCCCTTAATGCGAGTTTCCTGCCAATCTGGGCGGACCTTGCATACATCCACACAATCAAAATACCTGGGAAAAGCAGAATATAACCTTAAATGCATAAAACAATATGATCTCAAAGATAACGAATATAAACATACTCACAAATGGTCGCACTGCTCAAAGATAAATAATAAATAACGCCATTACAGGGGTCTCCTGTCGGCTTTGTGGCTAAGTCGATGCGAACGCTTCCTAATGCCGGGTTCGATCCCAGCTAGGGGCCATGCACCTCGTGTTGGTTTCGACAGTGGTATCAAGAAAGCCGACCACCCAGAAAGCAATGGCAAACTACTGGACGTAAATTTGCCTAGAAAAACCACACAACAGCCAGGGGCTGCTGGGGTTGGTTCTGCAACATCCTGTAAAGGATACACAACTAACCTAACAGGGGTCTCCTTGACTTAAGGGCTGATAACAGGTCATAACTCAAACTGGTCATTGATCAAATTTTTTTTTCAACACTATTTTCATTCAAACTCTAAGCACCAGTTTTCAGAACTGTGTTTTACCCTTCTAACTTAGTCATTTTTATTTATTTACTATTTTTCTTAAGTAGGAAGTGTGAATGTTCAAAGTCACATAGGTCTTTGTAAGTGTGGATGTTCCAAGTCACATAGGTCTTTGTAAGTGTGGATAGTCTGTCAAAAAGGTCTCAAGTCTAGGAAAATTAGTATTTTTTTTTTTTTTTTAAAGTAAGTAACAGACCCTTTAACACCTTTGGAACATCAGACATATAGCGTTGGACCTTAATGCAGACCAAATGGAACTCGACGGATGATGCAGACAGCATCATGTCTGCCCCCTTTACTTCCCAGGACATTATCTGGTACCCATATTAGGCTAGGATGACCTTAAAAAAAATGCCTCAATTATTTCTTCATTTTTCTTTTTCTTAGAGTTACCTGACTGTAAACCCCATGGAAAGTTCTGGTTGCTTGTCCATTTCTGGACTTTAATCTTGCTCCATAACTTTAGTTTTGCATGCATATCAGTTTTACAGATCTGGCTTAACTGTATTCAGACTGTTGGTTCCTCACCTCTCAACCAGATGCACCTCGATTTTGAAGAAAATACACCTTTTACAACATGCTTGTTGAAGGGAAAGGGGGAGGGGGTGAGGCCTTTGAGCAGACAGGTGAGCATCCAGCCATTACACTACCATGGTTCAAACAATACAAAGTTCAAAGTTCAAACTACTACAAAAGCACTACAAACCTCATGAGGTCAGAAAAATCCATCCAAAATATTCCTTGCTCTTCTCCCATAGCCATCAGCTTCTGGCGACCGTCAGCAGATACAGTCTCCCAGGAAGGGGATTCGTCACTCCAGTTGCCCTTCCATGAGAAACAGCCCCAAGGATTTCTTAGCTGGATTAATCTTGAGATTAAGAAACACATACATGTTATTAAAATGGTTTGGTCATCCCGTAAGAATGCAGCCGCAACTACCAACACAGGGGCTAAACAAGAAATGATATGATGTGACAGCAGAAGGGTACTCTTCTTCTTCTTCTTCGCGTACACCAGCTGTAAACTCCGGTGGAAAGTTGTGGTTGTTCGTCCACTTCTGGAATGCAGTCCTGTTCCAGAACCTGAGTGTTGCGTGTGCATCCGTTTTACATATCTGACTCATTTGTATGCAGGCTGCTGGTTCCTTGCCTCTCAGGCAGATGCATTCTGACTTCGAAGGAAGCTCCCAATTAGTCGACTCTTACGACATGCTTTTGAGTAGGCAGTGAGTCTGTTCTTGTTTTCCCTATAATAGGGCCCCGGAACCCACACGGGAACATTTCTACTTCATTTCATTCCCAGTAAGGACCAGTACCTATCATGACACATTCGGTATGTAACTGCCCCTGATCAGGAGAAGGTTACTCTAGAACAGAGGTTCTCAACATTCTTTATGCCATGACTGTTAATGCAGTTCCTCATTTTGTGGTGACCACCAACCATAAAATTATCTTTGTTGCTACTTTATAACTTCAGTGAATATATGCCTTCCGATGGTCTTAGGTGATCCCTGTGAAAAGATCATTCACCCCCAAAGGGGCCACGACCCACAGGTTAACAGCTGCTCTAGGAGAGAAGCTGATGACATTAAAGATATTCTACATTAACGCTGAATAAAAATTGCTAAAACTCAAGGAATGGATCACAAACTCTTTCTCCTCACATCTCTAAATGGTAGAAGTGGAAATTGATGATGATAATGTTACTTTCAAGGACATTCTGTGACTTTTAGCTAACAGGTATTTTTTGTTTGTGAACCCTCTAGAAAACTCTAGGCTTTGAAAAGGACTTGAATCTACTAGACAGCTGCTGGGTGTTAATAATTTTCTCCAAGCTCAGTACCAAACTAACATCTTTAAGTGCTGCAGAGCTCTCACTGTCCTTTTCCTAGCTCAGTACCAAACTAACATCTTTAAGTGCTGCAGAGTTCTCACTGCCCCTCTCCAAGCTCAGTACCAAACTAACATCTTTACAGTGCTGCAGAGTTCTCACTTCCCCTCTCCAAGCTCAGTACCAAACTAACATCTTTACATTGCTGCAGAGCTCTCACAGCCCTTCTCCGAGCTCAGAAATCAGCAATATTTAAGTTTAACCCACTTACCACAAATGTGGATTACAACAAATATATTACTTCACAATTTTATTCATGTATCATTCACTGTGACTTCTGACTGTGATGTGAACTTTATAACCAATCAGCCATACCACCAATCTATAATTTTCTCCTGTTCCCTGAAATATACTGTGTTATTTTATATTTTTGTCTAAATTTTCAACTCCCCAATTTCTGTCCAAAAAACTACACTTAATAATTTCCCCCATCAGCATCTTTGGCTTAGGCGCCGTGAACATGCTTCATAATTCTGAGATGCCAGTTCTTATCCTAGCTGTGGGTGATATGGCAGCAGACTGCTTTGCGTTGGTTTGGAAAGTGGTATCGAGAACCTACCATCCAGAAAGCAATGGCAAACTAAACAGAAACACTGCCTAGTGAAACCATCAACAATCTAAACATATAGGGGTTGGTTCTGCAACATCCTGTAAAGGATGCACAATAAACTAACAATGTTCCTGGAATAATTAATTTCTCTAAAAAATAGTTAGTAATTTAATTGTATACTCTCTATTCACAAGCGCCCCGCTCCCATTAATTTACCTCTAAAATACTATTATTTATTCTTCTTTAAATATCAATTTCATCGTATTTATTCTAAATCCTCTACTCAATAATTTACCTCTAAACCTATAATTTCCCAGAAAAATTGTATAATTTTTCTTTAAATCTTTGTTTACATCCTAAACTTACTCATTTCCCCTGTAAAATCCATGCACTCTAATTTCTTGAAAAATACTTTACTAAATTTTAAGCTGTCAAGAAACATAGAAACACCCTTAATGTAGTACGACCGGCAATAATTAACAGGCCACTTGCTAAGCCTCTGTGGATCAGACGAGGCCCGCAGGCTGCCAGTTAAATAGCCATGCTAAATCCTGTACTGCAAAATTTACTAAAATTATTAATTATGTTACATGTCGCTAATTCTTCACTACATCCAATAAATACTTCCTAACTGTTTACAAAATTTATGCTCAACACCTTCCTATTCCTTTACATCATGCACTCTCTTCTTTCCCTCTAAACCTGCACTCTTTATTATTTCTTTTAAATCTAAACTCTCTTCTTTCCCTCTAAACCTGCACTCACTTCCCTCCCTTTACACCTTCATTCAATAATTTTCCTCTCAACCTAAACTCCCTTCTTTCCCTCTAAACCTGTACTCTTTATTTCTTTTAAATCTAAACTCTCTTCTTCCCCTCTAAACCTGCACTCGCTTCTTTAACTCTAAACTTGCAGTCTTTTGCTTATCTCTAAACCTGCACTCACTTCTCTCCCTCAAAACCACCACTCACTTATTTCCTTCCAGATCCTGAACATCCAATATAGAGTAGGCATGTTTTGTTCTCAGCCCAACTTTGTGGAATTCCTCATCATCTGTTACCATGTTTCCTCCACCACACGAAGCCCCCATCAGAAACCTGAAAGGGGAAAAAAGACTTCAAATTAATAACATAATCATCAATAGTAGGTATTTTCTAGATGCCCTTCTAAAAAAAAAGTATCCAAAGTTATTTTAGCATCTCTTGACCAAAAATCTGGCTCTGTGACTGCCTATAACAATAAAAAAAGTTCATTTATGCTTCATTTATGAAATTGTTACTGTATTATGCACCTGAAGAGAAATAGCGAAATATGCCAGGCAATAAATTGTGCAATCTACTGTTTGTGTCTTCTTTGTTTAAATAAAATAAGTATATAATGCTAGCACTGGTCTGCTAAAATGTGCTGGCATTCTGGCAAAAATATCAGCCCAATAATGTAGAGGTAACAGTCGAAACCAAATGGAGAATTTCAAATGCAGCACTTCATCTATAAGAAACAATGCCCTAGCCAGAAACATTCAATTTTGTAAACTCTCAGTAGCATCTGGTTCGCAACATGTTTCTCCTATTTTCTTGGTTTGGTCCATGAGTGCTGGTCTATCTACGTCAAATCAGAGCAAGAAGTAAATAAAGGACCCTTTTCCACGCCTTAAGGCTGACAGGGCATACAGGGCTAGACCTATATTTTCCAAAGATGTGGTCAGCATCCTGCCAGCCACCTTTAATTCCCAGGACTGCAACTGGTACTCACCAAAGGCTGGGTTGACCTGGGAGTCACGGTCATTTTTGAAGGAAAAAAAGTCTGGCCCCCAAATAAGAGTACAATTTAAAATTTTAAAAAGAGAAAAAAAAGATGAGATATTGCAAACTTTTGAGAACAAAGTCTAAGGGTGAATATTTGGACGGGGAGTAAAGGGCATCTTCAAGCCTGAGGATTTAGAGTTGCATGGCTAGTGCTGTCGCTATGGACGACACAGGATTTCTATTTCTGCTCCTAACAGCAACATCAAAATCCCCAATTTCAAGGATTTGAACCCTGGTGTCCTGAATGAGAGCCATGCGTTCTTACTCGATCGGCCAGCTGACTTCACATAATCTGTTTTAAGCTAACATTAACTACTGGCCGTCATCCAAAGATCTCGTTACCAGCCAAACAACGGATGTTCAACAGCATTTTCATCCCTACGTTATGTTATCAGTGCCAAACGTGGACAATGAACGAATCACATATGCAAAAAATAACTACGTGTGAAATGCGATGTCTCAGAAGAGTCACCATCAATACACGAAGAGATAGAGTCCCAAACGTCAGCATTAGAGACAAAGTTGGAACAAGAGCATGCATGAAACATATTGAAAGACAGAGAATGAAGTGGTTTGGCCATTTAGTAAGAATGCAACCGGATCAGATTGCCTATAAGGCCTTTTACAGTAGAACATCGGGAAGAAAGGCAAGAGGAAGACCCAGGAAAAAATGGATAGATGGAGTAGCTGAATACGGCCAGAAGATCCAGAAAACTGTCACTCAAATCATGTGAGAGGCACAAAACAAATATTTTAAACCACGACACTGGGCTACAACCCGGTAAAAGTGAAGAAGACAATAGATAGAGATTAACTACTGGTTTTACAAGGGTTAATAGATCATTGGTTAGGGCATACTGAGAGAATGGCAGCCAGTAAAGAGTTCCAACTCTGATGGCAATAGTAGCAGTCTGACTGTATGTCCGTCTTGTCTTTCCTCTCAGTGTGAGCTCTGGTGTTGGTCAGATCCCCTGGTCACTCCCCGTTGCAGCATTCTCTTCAGGCCACGACAATCAAATTGTGACTCTGCTACCAGGCTATCTGCCTGTTCATTTCCCAACACACCTGCATACCCCCAAAGAACATTTTCTAATAAAGAAGAAGAAGAAGAAGAATACTTCAAAGAAACATACCACTATAAGAAACTTGTACTTGCATAACTGTCAATTATAAAGTTGCAATGACTAGGAAAATGTAAGGAGGTATGCGAAAATTCACTGTGATCAATGCAGGGTCTAGAAATTGTAAATAAATATTTGGCGATCTCTGTGGCAAAGTGGTCAAGTTATTTGCCTCGCACTCTGAAGATCTTGGGGGTATGTTTTACAGGCGTGTAATTCACTTCAGAAATGCATTTTGTGTGGGAGATCTTTGGGATCATCACATAAGCTTTAGAGATCATATATTAGGTGGTGCTCTCCACAAGCCATTAACTGTTCTGCCAAGAAAGACCAAGCTATGTGGGACAAAACGTGGGGCTTAATAAAGTATATCCTTTTGACTTTAATGAAGTCCAAAATCACATTTCTAAACGGACTACAGTAATGTCTGCACATCTAAACACCTTCTTCTCTGTCCACATGATAAACATTTGATATATATATATATATATATATATATATATATATATATATATATATATATATATATATATATAGAGAGAGAGAGAGAGAGAGAGAGAGAGAGAGAATGCATGCACGCATACACACATATAAACTGATCCGACACTACAAAATGCCACAAAATCATTACCCCAGACACATACTTACTTTTGGTCTCTGCTGCTGAGCAGCTTTGCCCAAATGAGGTCAGGAAATATGTCTTCTTCTCTGCTTCCATTTTCTGGTTAGCAAAATGAGAATAAAAGAGTCTTAATTTGCGACTAATAATATGTTTAATATCCAGTGCTGAAGCTGTCGCCCAAATCTGGGCAATGATTACTATAAAATCACATTTGCACTGCTCACAGTGGTCAGCTGTAATTTAGTATAAATCATCTACCACTTGTAAGAGTTGGAGCTGCTGTGATGTAGCGGCTAGATGCTCACCTGTTGATTCAAAGGTCATGGGACAGTGATGGACTTTCTGTATGGTTTTATCATTGGCACAGAGATGGAGCAACTATCGGGTGACCTGTTTGCTATGAAGCAGGAACTGTGATTCTCTAATTACCCGATTACATAGCGAGAGGATAAAGAGGAATGTTGTTGAATGTTGAATTAAGAATTAACATCACAGCACTCAGGACACTCCCATAAGTGCTCAGTCCCCATCTTCAACAGCAAGCAAAGAGTTCCAACTCTGAAGGTACCAGTAACCGTCTGATTGCATATCCATCTCATCCTTCCCCTGAGTGTTGAGCGTCGGCCAGATCCCCTGGCTCTATCTGCACCTCTGTACTGTTTACCTGTTCCCAAAGGGTCCTCACAATATCTAACTTGTCATACATCAATTTACCAACAAGTGGTGCATAGCCAGCCAGTCTATCTTACTGCTCATTTCCCTGCTCACACCGGCGTACCTGGAGAAAATATCCAAAGGATGCTAACTACCCGAGACCTCAGAAGTGATGCTTGCCACTTTGCATGAAGCATGCCTGTTTTCACCTTTCTCAACATGCTCTGTGAGTCGGTTACAATCACGGCATGTGTGTACAGCTGATTGGTAAAGAGGAAGAGGAAAAGAAGAAGGAAAATCAAAAGACAAAGGAGTAGAAGAAGGTGTGACTTACTTTGCAAAGAAATGCTCTCACATGGTGCACCAGTCAACACTGAGAGTCCTTCGATGCACTTCCCAGCTTCTGAAGCCTTGTAGCATCCAGCTAGTTTTGCCATGGCCTTCTCTATCAGGGGAACCCAAAGTTGCTTGCGCATTGCCTGGTAGAAATCAAATAGAAAAACAAAGATCCATGTTTAAGTCCACTGCTAATTAAAGATCCACCATCAAAATAAAAAAGAGGATGTCCAGAGAAACCCTAAGGTGAACACTGATGTGAGACGCAAAACTTTTAGACTGGATTCTCCTTCTTGGCGTTCACCGGTTGCAAACTTCCAACGTAAAGTTCTCGTTGTTTTTCCACTTCTGAACTTTAGTCTTGTTACAGAACATCCATTTTACAGGTCTGGCTTTTTATATGCAGATTGCTGGTTCCTTGCCTCTCAGGCAGATGTACTCTGACCTCGAAGAAAACATGAGCTGCCGTGGCAGAGCGGCTAGACGCTCGCCGCGGATCGGAAGGCCGTGGGTTTGCTCCCTGGCGGAGCCGGACTTTTTCAAAAAATGACCTTGGCTCTCAGGTTGACCCAGCCTTGAGTGGGTACCGGGTTCAGTCCCGGGAAGTAAAGGTGACCAGCGTGATGCTGACCACATCACCCATTGTGTGCCGTTGGTCTATAAAAATATAGGTCTAGCCCTATATGCCTAAAGGCGTGGAAAGGGTCCTTTACCTTTTTTTTTACTTACTTACTCAAAGAAAACTCCTAATTAGTCTATTCTTCAAACACACTTGTTAGGGGGCAGTGGTTTTCCACAAAATGGGGCCCTGGAACCCATATGGGGGACTGGATTCCATCCACAATATCCAAGTGACTGCACATGATAGATAGAACAGAATGGAGAAATAGACATAAATCTGAAGTACCCAGTTTAATTTAAATGCAAGCAATGAGGCAGCAGACTGCTTTGCGTTGATTTCTGACCATACAGCAAGCAATAGCAAACTACTGATAAAACACAAAACAAAAACTGCCTAGTATAACTATAAAACATCTTGTAAAGAATACACAACCAACCCCCCCCCCCCCCCCCACTTTTTTTTTTTAAACTGTACCTTTGAAAACACCAGTGTTCTGTTTGGATGACATGGCAGAAGGTCATCTATGAGAACTGTCCTCCATAAGCCATCTTTACACAGCCGGACCTGGTAGACTCCCTCTGGACAGATCTTGTTTGTCAACACAATGTGCTCAACCAGCTCACGTCTCTCTGCGAGTACTGCCAGCGCACTGAGAAACCTGAACCAGAAATTACTTCACTTTTGTTTCTAGCCTTTCACATATTCAAAAGAAAAGAGGGACTTATAAAGAACAAAAATGGGCAGCAAAGTGTGGGAGGTAGTTGAGAGCCTAGGTTCCTTTTCCTTCTTACAGTTCATACCGTGTGTTGTTGATAGTCACGTCAATCCACAACCTTGTGTCTTTGTACTCTAAATCCCTTCTGACACATATGGTTGTCCTTGTCATAATGTCAAACTGTCCAGCATCTTCTCTCTCAAGCTCCTTCTTCCTCTCTACCCCCCCCCCCCCCTTTACCCCACCCAACTTTCCCACTGTCACAATTCACTCCAGTTTTCTCAAAAGAATCTGCTCCATCAAAGGTTAAAGAACCAACCAAAAGACACAACAAAAATGTAATACATAGAGAAAAAAATTGTAGCTTTCTTCTACTTCTACAGTAGCCCTTAAAAATAAGGGGGGGGGGGGGGGGGGGGGGGGGGGGGGGGGGGGGGGGGGGGGTGACTAGTTTGTGTTGTGGTTTACAGATGAATGCCTTTCGGCCCCCAACACATCCGATTTCAGCAAAGCCTTCTAGTTCTTTACAACTTCATGAGCTCATCCCCTCTCTTTGAAATAGGGCCCTGGAACCCACATGATGAGCAATTGTGTTAGATTGTATGTGGTTGTTATTAAATTGGGCGGGCAGGGAGGTTACTTTGAGGGTTTCCCAATTTCTTCTAGACAATTAGAAAAAGTTCAGCTCTAACAATACATGAATCTACAAAGTCTGTTATATCCCAACACCCTATACCTTCATCAGGTTGACCTAGCGTCAAATGGGTACTAGGTTATGTTATGGGAAGTAAAGGCGACCAGTATGATGCCGACCACAACACCCATCAATTTTTGATTTGGTCTATGACAGCAGTTCCCAATCGGTACTCCTCATAGCCCTAAGGGCTCCACGCACACTTCCCAGAGGCTTCGCAGCGGCTCTACAAAAATATTGCCAACTTTAAAAACATCATATGTCAGAAGACGAAAGCAGCGTTTCCTTGTTGTTAAAAAACAAAGACAGACACAAACAACAGACTGCACAACTTTTTGCCTGCATATTTTGCTGTGATGCTTACTGCATCAGCCACTCAGTACTGACTGGTCTATAAAATATAGGTCTAGTCCTAAATGTCGTGGAAAAGGGTCTTTTATTTTTTTTTACATATTTTGCTGCATTTTGTCAAGTGCTTACTACAGTAACAATAAAATAAAATAATGTAAATAAGTAAATCCTTTAATCCTAACTGCAGCAAAAAACCACACACACAAAAACAGAAATACAAGACAGTATATGTTTTGCAATAGCTAAAAAAGACAGTCAGATGTATATTTGGTTGTTTTCTTTTATTTCAGCACATATTAAGGACTTTGAGATATCCTGGGGGAATTCCCGGAAAGTTCAATGGTATAGGGGTGTTAGCGTGTGAAATGAACACCAACTAACACTACCCCCCCCCTCTCCCCCCCCCCCCCCATTATTGGACTTTCCTGGGATTTCCCCTTGAAATCTTGGAGTCCCCGAGAACTGCATATCCTTTTACAGAATGCCACAAAACCAATCCTAGCATTTACTGGCTGTTTGTCGTTTTAGCTGCCGATATTATGTCCGGCAGCTTTGCTATCTTTTGTCAGCATCTGTGGTTTTGGTGTTGCAGATGGGTTTCATAATTTTCAGGTGCCAGGTTTGATCCAACCAAAGGGGGATTTGGCAGCAGACCGCCTTGCGTGGGTTTCAACAATGGTATCAAGAGCTGACCATTCTGAAAGCAATGGGAAACTACTGAACATAAAATTGCCTAGTGAAATCACAATTCACAAACAGCCATATAAGGCTGGTGCTGGCAAAATACTGTAGATGATCTGGCAGTAACTAACTTAGCTTGCCACTGCTTTCTGAAATGATGATGCTTGTCGATATCAACCCAAACTGGTCTGCTGCTAAATTACCTGCAGTGGACCAGAACCCAATATGCTGGAATTATGAACTATGTTCATAACACCTAAGATAACTATGCTGATAATGGAAGAAAGTGTTATTGGTGCAAGGTACTCTCCAGGTAGGTTTGGGGACCCCATTGGAAAAGGGGGAGGGGGCAAGTAGAATCACTGCCCTTCTAACAAGCATGTCGTAGAGTTAACTAATTAGGGGTTTCCTTTGAAGTCAAAGTGCATCTGCCTGAGAGGTAAGGAACCAACAGTCTGCATAATATCAGTCAGATCTGTAAAACAGATGTGTGTGCAGCATGCAAAATACACGTTCTGGAATAGGACTTGAGTCCAGAAGTGGACGAACAACTAGAACTTTTTGCCAGAGTTTACAGCCACCGAGCGTGAAGAAGAAGTAGAAGAAAAAGAAGGTTCCGGGAACCATGACAGAGGACTTTGCTTGACACTACACTTACCAACAATTTCCTAGAATTCCTTGTTTAATATCCTCTGGCATGGGGGTTCGATATACCACCCACGGTAAACGCCTCTCCTCAAACAGGTTGGTAACAATTTCATGTGGTCTTAGCCACTGAATCGACTTCTCAATGAAGCCTGTGTCGGGGTTTCGGAAGAGAGACTTCTGGGCAGGTGGGAACTGGTCATCCACAAATGGTTCTTTATTCTGAAGCAGAAACATCAAATTTACACACAAAAAATTATAATACAGCAAGATGTTTCATTGCAATATCAAAACAGCCATATTACTGTAATATGAAGTCACCTGTACAGTAGATACACAAATAAAAAAAAAAGAAAAATACAACAGACTTGATACTAATAATGTCTATTTATCAGCCAATTGAATGAGTGACGTCAACACCACAGGACCGCACAATGAGTGATAAATATCAGGTGACACAAAGTGCCACCATTCAGAGAGAACCACCAGGGTGCAAGTCTTGGAAACCGCATTCAACCTGTAGGTTATATTTAGTGCCCCCCGACGACAGCCAGGATGGGGGAGGGGGGTGCGTCAAAATAACAAAATATTGCACCCCACACTGGAGCGGGTATTAGCCAATATCAGTCAAATATAAAAATAATGTCATATGTACAACTTAAATTTATATGTCCACCCACTGTTATATAACCACAGACTTCATACAAATAAAGTTTATATGTCAGCTAATGATAACAATTTACAGACTTCATACTAAGAGTTAAGATTTTAGCCAATAAAATAACAATGAAAAACTGTAAAAAAATAAACACTGTCATTATTTGCCATGTTTTTGAGGTGGGGGGGGGGGGGGAGTGAAGAAGAATAAAGATTTCCCGCCCCTCAACAAACATGTTATACAAGTCAACTGATTAAGGATTTTCAGAAACTAGATTCCCCGTGTGGATTCCGGGGCCCTGTTATAGAAAAGTCAAGAATAGACCCACTTCTTACCCAAAAGCATGTCGTAAGAGTCAACTAATTGGGAGCTTCCTTCGAAGTCGGAGTGCATCTGCCTGAGAGACAAGGAACCAGCAGTCTGCAAACAAATGAGTCAGATCTGTAAAACGGATGCACACGCAACACTCAGGTTCTGGAACAGCAATGCAGTCCAAAAGTGGATGAACAACCAGAACTTTCCGCCAGAGTTTACAGCTGGTGAACACAAAGAAGAGGATGAGAGAGACTAGATTTGCCAGATCAAAAGGCTCTGATATCCTCTTCTTCGTGTTCACCGGCTGTAAGCTCTGGCGGAAAGTTCTGGTTGTTCATCTACTTCTGGACTCGATTCCTGTTCCAAAACCTGAGTGTTGCATGTACATCCATTTCACAGGTCTGATTCATCTGCATGCAGACTGTTGGTTTCTTGCCTCTCAGGCAGATGTACTCCGTCTTCAAAGGAAGCTCCCAATTAGTCGACTCTTACGACATGCTTTTGGGCCGGCAGTAGGTCTATTTTTGTTTTCCCCACAACTGGGCCCCTGAACCCACACGGGGAACAATAAAAGGTGTCGGCTGCCCTTTAAGGGCAAAGACAGAAACGGAAGATGAAAAAAGAGAAAGGAAAAGATAAACAAGAAGGAAAGGAAAAAATTATACCAAAACTACAGACTTCAAATTAATAAAGTTAAGATTCCAGCCAAAAACGAACACAAGAACATACTCAACAACAAAATAATGTTAATATTTCAGACAATTAAACAACATAATCACATTCTTAAAATACTGAAAGTTAAGAATTTAGCCAACTAAGACATAGTGATGTGGTGATAGATCACACTAAAATAAATACTAATTTCAGTCTGTAAATGCATACATCTACTCACATATTGAATTGGTGGACTCAGACAGAAAAAGATCCAAACTGGCAAACTCTGAAAGGGCCGATAGCATCCAGAAGTCCCATCTCAAGAAGCGATCATGGGTGTACACAGCAGGATATGCCTTGGTGAAAGGAAATAAAAGAGCTGATAGACTAGCTGTGACTGCAGTGGCTGGTGAAGGACGAAGTATGGACATGCCAGAGATAATGAATGTGGTGTCTTCCAGAGACATTAGGACAAAGGAGTCAGAGACGATGAACCATCTGCTGGAAATGAAGAGCAAGCACCCAGAAACTAGTTGCTGGGCAAAGAAAGAATGTTTGCCACTCAACTCCTGCTGGGTTTGTTAAGCATGGAGACACTGAGAGGGCTGCTGCTTTGAAGGATGGCGGACCAGGAATGGGTCAGACCGAGGTGATAGGATGTCAACATGGATATCAAGAAACAGAAGATGGATATCAAGAAACAGAAGATGGATTTCAAGAAACAGATACACATTTAATATGCACATATATTCTAGTTACCGCTTTGCAGTGATGTATGATCTGCTGGCAAAGGTCGTTAGCCTCTCTCTCCTCGATAATGCGAATCTCCTCAATTAAAGAACTCTCCTGTCTGTGAAACTCAAATGAGGAAGGTAGTTCACCATCAGTGAAGACTTCAACGTTGTCACTAACTGAATGCTTTTTACTTGTACCAGCCGCTGCAGCTGCATTGACAGTTTCCTTTGGTGCCCTTTCTGGCAAAATATGATTTTTAGCAGTCTTGCAAGCTTTACATACAAGATCTCCCAGTGTATTATGTAAAGTGCATGTAACACATTGCCAGATTTGCACGTCAGGTTGTGGGTGAAGTTCATCGCACATAGCACACTTCCAGCCATTTTCTGCTGTGTTTTTGAAAGTACATTTCCGACAATCCCATTGGGTGGTTGCATTCTGGGGAGGATGTTGTATAAGAGAGTCTTTGTTAGGTCGATGTACGTAGGTGACACTGTCTTTGTTTATATCTATGGGACTAGGTGGGGACACTCTATTTTGTTCCGTTTTTGATTTCTTTGGATTTATTTTAGACTTACGGCAAACCTGACATTCAGTTTCCCAATGTGGGTTACATTGAAATGTGCAAACTGAACATGTCCACTCGACTTCATTACCGGGGGGTGGAAATGAATCTTCCTTAGTAAGCATGGAAGAGTCTTTTGGTGAGTCCCTTTTGCCAAAGTCATTTGAAATGTCTGCACTTGCAGCTGTTTGAGGCTTGGAGTTTCTATCATTCTCTTTTATGTTGCCAGCACCACAGCATGACTCACAACCTTTAGCCTTATTACAATAAAAACAGATGTCACTACTGGCTTCTGGTAAAGTTTTAGAACAATCTGATTCAAGGTTGGACAGGGTTGGGAGACGTACATGGCGAGGAGAACCACACACATCACAGCGATGATGACTGTTGGAATTCAGAAGAGTGCATCGCTGGCAAGCCCACTCACTCAGCTGTTTTCTGCCTTTCACATCGCTACTGTCAACTCCAATGGCATTATCAGCATCACTTTCATCAACACTTATGCTGCTTCTCGAACCTGAAGCTTTTTCGTTACTAGATACATCAACTTTCATACTGTTCGTACTTTGATCCCTTCCTATGTGATTGCTAACCCCATTAGGCATGTGATCTTTTTGATTTGTATTAGAAAACGTCCCTGCAACTCCACTGGTGCTACAGTTGTCAGAACCACAAGATGCATCCGTTGACATTTCAAACAACTTGACTCCAGCCAAATGCAAAATTCTAACCCAGTTGATCTTCTTTGGAAAACTCTGCAATCCCCTATAGACATAAGCTTACTAACTGGAGAACCACTGTTCCCTTCCTGAAAATAAATGTAAGAAGCAAATTTAACGCATTGCCTTACAATATGCAATTAATCACACACAAAAAAGGTAAAATTAATTCTGTATATGATCCTACCATTTGTGTGTGAAGTGTTAGGGCTTTACAATATGTAATGAATAAACACTGTTTGCATTATTGACTGTAAACTCTGGCAGAAAGTCCTGGCTGTCCCTTCAGTTCCTGACTGTTTTTGTGTCAGGACTTGAGTTTTACATGTATATCAATTTTTTACAGTTTCAATGCAGACGCATTCCATCTTTGAAGGAAACGTTATCCCGCTGGCCATTTCCTAGGCCTTTACGGCCCAGATTTTGTCTGTGGGCTGCTAGTTAAATACTCTGGTCTATTCTATCATTAATATTATTTATTTATTTAGATTATTTATTTATTCTCTCACTAGGATGACTGGGGCTAGTGATAGCTGAACCTTATGTATCAGCAAGACGGACATTGCTATACAGTAGGACTCTCCAGTTTGAAAAGAAGGCCTACAACTAAAACTGCTACAGGCAGGAGTTGTGCACAATATTTACAAGTGGATCAAAGACTTTTTTTTCCAACGCAGAGCCAGATTCAGAATTGATGGACACATCGGCAAACTGGCAAAATTAAGAGAAGGAGTTCCCAGGGCAGTTCGTTAGCACCAACTCTGTTCCTGGTTTACATAAATGATATCACAGCAACCTGCCACCAGCACGTTTCTAATACCCTACATGCCAATGACTTTGCAGTTTGGACAGCCTCCGAATACACTACCACAGCCTCATATCTGTTACAAAAAACTGTGGAAAATGTAGAAGCCTGGACCGAAAAGTGGGGTCTAAAGCTAAATAATTTAAAAAGCACAGCATCACTTTTCTTCCCCCCCCCCCCCCCAAAAATTTTTTTTTTAATCTGGATAAAAAACCAGCTCATTCCACAGACTGATACTCCTACCTTTCTTGGCATTACACTTGATACTCGACTAACTTGGAAGTCACATGTAGAAGCAGTACAGGGGAAAGCATTCAAGAAGCTTGAGTGATGAAAAAATTAGTGGGTACGACATGGGGCGCTAACTCCAGAATCCGGAAACAAGTATATACTGGAGCAGTCAGGCCAGTCATGGAATATGCCTCTAATGCATGGGCTGCAGCAGCCAAGACAACAATGGGAAAACTGGACAAGGTTCAGAATATGGGATTAAAGATTGTTCTCGGAGCCATGAAAACCACCCCTATCAGAGAGATAGAGAGGATAGCAGATACTGAACCACTCGAACTCAGAAGACAACACAAAACTCTTTTACAGCATGAGAAATTAAAAAGACTTCAAAGTCACCCCCTGCATTTTAAATTTCAAGAGAGAACAAAAAACAGACTGAAGCGTCAGAGCTCCAACCACCTTGCTAGAGAACTGTACAGACAGCACCAAGATCTGCTTGAAAGAGATGTTGAACTGTGCGAAAAACTTAGGCCAGAACCATGGACAAGCAAGACAGAGAAGGCAAATGTCCTAAAGGTAACAGGGATAACTTCAAAAGATGCCCAGACGGAGACACAACAGAGAACTCTGGCTCTGGCCATGCTTGATGAGAAGTATCTCAACACCACTTGGACTTAGGTTTTTAGAGACGGCTCTGCTACAGATGCAGTCAGAAAGGGGTGCTGTGGAACATTCATTAAACCCCTAGCAGTAGAGCAGAAACTCTCTCTCTACCAGCAGGTGACATCTGCACTAACTTCCTGGCTGAGGCAAATGCCCTCCTTTCTGCAGTCCAACATCTCATCACTCAAGAATGCAGAGGGCAAAAAATTGTTATACTTAGTGACTTATTGTCCGTTCTCAAAACACTATCAAGCAAAAAACAAGACAAACTAATTGCAGATCTAAGGACCATCATTGGCTTACTCTCCAAGGAAGCAGAACTGGTCTTGCAGTGGAAACCAGCCCACTGTGGTATTCAAGGAAATGAGAGCAGATGAGTTGGCAAAAGTTGGGAGTAATCTTCCACAACCTTATCCACAACACAGCTACAGGGAAACCAAAACAGCGCTAAAGCAGTCTTTCAAGCGGGAGTGGAGAAGGCAGAATGGAGATTACAGACCAGAGAGTGACAGCATAAACAAACTCAACAGGAAAGAACAAACACCAATCTTTAGACTTCGGACAGGACACTTTGGTCTTCGAGCTCACCTGTACAGGATAGGCATAAAAGAATCTGCTGCTTGTGATTGTGGAGCAGAAAGACAGACCCCTGAGCACATACTGCAGTACTGCCCTAACCTCTCCCAGCAAAGACTGTGGATCTGGCCCAAGGGAGCCACATTGCAAGAGAAGCTATGGGGGACCGATGGCGACCTTAAACGCACAAATCCTATTTGTGACCCAGACTGAACTCAATGTTTAGCATGACTGATGTCGAATGCAGAAGAAGAAGAAGAAGAAGAAGAAGTAGGACTCTTTATCGGCAAACATTTAGGTGCTTTATTAAAATTCTACCCTAAACAGGGGAAATCCAGAGTTCACGAGACAGTCTAACATTTCAGGGGGTGGTAGATAGGCTGCATGCAGTCGTGGGACCAAGGCTGCATGCAGTCGTGGGACCAAGGCTGCATGCAGTCATGTGACCTATGCTGCACTCTCTCGTGGGACGTAGGTGGGTTGGGGTTACGGCCAATTCTAGATGTTTTGGGGTAGTTAAAAGCATCATAAAACCGCGAAACCCAGTCTTACCACCCTCTAAAATGTTGGACTGTCCTATGATGTCACTGGGGTAGGATAATAATAAATAAAGAACCAACATTTGAACCAATGATTGTCATTAAGCAAGAAACTTGGACAGTGGATGTTACTCATCATACATTCTGGGCACTGCATCTCTAGGAGCCACCACCTGTAAGATCCCCTGCCAACTTGGCTTAGGCTAATGTAGGGTATTATCGATGGCATACAACATGGACATGTGGTTGGTGGCTCTACAGAATTCACTTCTGACAAGGATTAGTTTCATTTTTGTGCAGGGACATGTAGAGGGTACAAGGAAATGAGCAACTTGATACACTTGCAGGTAAGGCTACTGTGAAAGCCGGACAAGCCATGGACCAGGCTGGTATACTGAATGCTCTAAGAGAGTCAAGACGTTTGCGTGAACAAACTCAGAACTGTGAATCTACAACCATGGTCAGACTGCAAGAGCAACATGTTAAACGGAGTGTTGCTAAACAAGAACATTATGCGGGTAGTCAAAGATGAATAATAAACCAACACAGAACTAGTGTCGGTAGCCGCTACACATTGCAGGATTTATTTAGGAGGGGATCCGAGCACTTATGGAATGAGTGGTTCGACGTGCAGTGAGGATAATCTGTCCAATGACTGACTGACTGACTAACTAACAAACATGTGGCAGACTCTTGCAAGAGGTTCTCAAAACCCAGCAGAGAGACCTTTGGTGCCCAAGATGAGGTACAGGATATCCCCTTATATAAATAGCCTTAACTTTTTTTTCAGACCTGTGACCAAAGTCACAGCACCAGTGAATCCCATATAACAAAAGGAAATGTAACTGCACCACTGAGGTTACTCTGTGTGTGAAGTTTACAGCTTGACATATTCCATCTTCTTCATTCTTTTTTTTTTGCTTCTCTACTCCTAAAATGCCATGCGGTGTCAGCGCAGGAAGAGATCTCTAGAATGGGCCCTTCTGTTCACTTCATAAAGCACTTTTCAGTGTCTCTGATATATTTGTGATCTATATTTTTAATGGTTGACCTCTGGGTCTGTTACAGCTGCATCTGTATAACATTGCTCTCCGTGGGGCCCTGTCTGCTGCCAGTCTTGTTACATGAACCATTTGATTTGTTGTCTACCAATAAAGTTCAGTACTGGTTCAGTGCTGAATCTCCTCCTGATATCATCGTTTCTAAATTGATCTTTTCTCGTTCCAACTAGCATATGTCATGTTACAATATAATATGGATGTCATGACCAGTTTCCCTCCATCACCTTTTTCCATGCAAATAAGTTGTTAATAAGTTCTAGAAATTATCTGGTGCCCATTCTGAGGCTGGGCTGACTCAATATAGTCAGCAAAACTATTGCAGGTGATTCTTCGGCTATCCTCCAAATAATGGCGGCCAAAAACACACCCTGACAGGGCCTCATTAGGTCGAATGTTGTAAACATTCAAAAACTCGAAAATAATGAGAAACTAAAAAAAGGGAAAATGATGAAATCGACTACTTAGCGATAACTGAGGCCTTTATATCTTAAATTAGTGGCAAAGAAGTTGCAAACAGTGCCCGAAAATCTGCTCTTTGTGGCTGTGGCGCCATTGAAACGTGATAAATATGATCGGTGCCGGATTGGTAACGCAGTTTTTACCATCGAGAGTATCCCCAGCGCCGCGGAGGGCGGATAACTAGATGGCTAAGACTCACGAGAAAAAAAAATGAGGAAGCTGCACGATGCTGTAGCTGCTGCTCATGAGTCCCGGCTGTCTAGTCTAGCCTTACTCCGAGCAGCGCGGAGAAAACTCTTGGCGCCGAGTTCAACTTGGCAGTTTGTTGCGTTTTGCGACATCATCGCTGGAAATTTATCATACTTTTGCTGTGGTATATTCGCTGGACCGCAACTTAAATGTAATTGAGACCCTGTCAGGGTGTGTTTTTGGCCGCCATAATATGTGGCCGTTATTCAGAGGATAGCCGATTCTTCTTCTCTTTCTTTGCTCGTCTTTCAAAGAGAATGCCAGTCCTGTGGGTTCAGGGTCTATAAAGGTGAAAAAGAACAGACCCACAAACCCCTAACAGGCATGTCATAAATCCCAACATAATAAGGGATGTTTTGTTTCAAAGCCAGGCTGCATTAGGCTGACTGAGAAATGAAGAACCCATAGTCTGCATACAAATAAGAAAAAAAGGATGTACATGCGAAACTCAAGTACTGGAACAAGTCTCAAGTCCAAAACTGGACAAACATTAGAATTTTCCCCAGAAGTTTACAGTCGGTGAGTGCTAAGAAGGAGACTGTGTTACATATATTTAACTCTTTGAGTCCCAAGGAACGTGTCATACGTTCATAGATTCCTACCTAGAAACCCAATGAACGCAAGATGCGCAGATTTTACGTCTTTCTTGACTACCCCTTAGGCCTCTGATGCTAAACTTCCTGGGACTCAAAGAGTTAAACACCTAGCAGAAATCAGCATTTTAAAAAATTGAGTTGTTTTTAGTTTTTACTTTCTCCTTAGTGCCATCTACCCTATTTTTAGTGAATACATTTGACTCCTTCTTCTTCTTGTTATCCCTTATTCTGGTGACTGCTTCCACATTGATTCTCCAACTAGATATCATATTTCCTCAACAAAATTGACAAGCTCAAATAAACACTTAACTAATTCATAAACCACAAAGGGCGTGGGTTGAAATGAATGACCAATGTATCTATTCTCTGAATTTCTGTTTCATTAAAACACTTCCGCTGTAAACTACAATCAAAACAGTCCAGGATACAGACAAAAGTTCTACTATTCTAAATTGCTGGATCAAAGAACTGCTAACAATAATAAAATAATGTAGTTCCACAATTTATTCTAAATTACTAGTGAATTAATAAATTATTAAGAAAAAGCTACAGTCAGCAGCGCGACAACTGACGAGTACAGCTTAATTTACATGAAATTAGTTACATTTCAGTGTCACCTGTAAGAAACGATGTTCAGGAAAGGTAACAAACGATGTTCAGGAAAGGTAACAAACGAACTGTAAGGAGCTGTTAGACGATTAGATCATAAAATTAAAATAACCTTACCTGCAACTACCGAAATGATCTGGCTTCTGTCTCTGTCATCTTTCGGTTTGTTTTGCTTGCTATCTTTATCTCAGCAGACGATTGGTTATTGCGACGGTTTTGTTAAAAAATAAATAATGTATAATCTGATTTTGAGTGCTTGTGGATAATGACGATGATGATAATGATAATAATTAAATTGACATTTTAAAAATTGTATCTTAGGGAAGTGGTGGCGATGGTGGTGCGATTAGCACCTTTCCGTCTCTCCAGACAATGGTGTTATTGTGCGATATGGGGAGGCTTGCGACACACCCCATGGTAATATAGCGAGTGTGACTAGCAAGGCCCGCCCGCGTTAAGAAACATTTTAGCAATATAATTATATTATTACACAGTTATATTATGGGATTTCAGGGCCGTTGTTGTCAACATCTTTGTTTAGCCTGTTTCTTCTCAGATGCTCAGCTCTGATCCTTTCTGCAAACCAACATTTCTTCCTTCATTTTCACCCTCTTCCTGATGTGCCCCACCATACAACACGATCCATGGCTTTTTGTTTCAACTACTCCACCTACATACATGTTTTATTCATGTCCCGTTTGCACACATCTGTATATCGTAGCAGAGGTCGGCCTCGACATCTTCTACTCGTTTTTAATACATCATACACGACAAATATACATAGGATACGTACGACCAAAACCGGAGTATGGCATGGGAGCACACTCCACTGCAGCCAATTGTCAGTCATCCACATGTGGGATGCAATTTTTTGTTTGAAGCCCCACCCTGACTTCTGCCAGGGCCCTGAATAAAGCCGGGGCATAGATATGGCCTAGCCATAGATACGGTCTAACTGCTGAAAGGGGTTTCTGGGACCTCTCCACTGGCGATCCTCATCCGCATGGTGGCACATTGTGTCACATGGTGTTTATCGCTTGTGTGGTGTCCTGGTGGGGTACAACTACCTACCTACAGCAGCCAAATAAAACCTGCACAAACTGGACAAAATACAGAACACTGGTCTCAGAATCATCACTGGATGTATGAGAAGCACACCAATCCATGAGCTGGAGGCAACTTCTGGCCTCTAGAACTTGAGCCTACAAAGGGAAGAAAAGGTGCTTACCCTAACAGAAAAATTTCAACGCATGAACAACAACCCCATGCACAGAATAGCAAATAATTTAAACTGACTAAAAAGACAAAGTTTTCACTGTCTATCAAAATTAAACTACGAAAAAAAAAAAAAAAAAAGTGACATCCTTTCAAAAGATCCTTCAGCATGGGAAATGATCCTACAACCCAACTATAGTCGCAACAAAAATTCCAGGCATAGTCAGAAAGGCTGAAGAATGTGAACTAGAACTGCATGCAAAGACCCTTGAACATATATGCAACTGTTATCCAAAACCCGAATGGACACATGACTGATTTTTTCCGTTACTTATTATGGGAAGCACAAACAGATAAATCTTCACTGTCTGAAGAAAACGGTGTAGTGACCATGGGCATTTTCAGAAACTCGGCATTCAGAGGAAATGAAAGCCGGGCATACATTCGAACTGCTACTGGTACCTTCGGAATTGTAACTGAACTGGATGCTGAAGGCAGGGATGAGGCACTCATGGGAATGTCCCTTGTAAGGTGAAATCGGTTCTTAACTCAGTTGTAATTAGCAGCGATAAGCAGCTGTTCGTTTGTAGGATATTTGACAGGCAGTGAGTGAAAATTGCGAGCATTTAGTCCCTTTGTCAAGAATGCTACTAACAGGGGGAATAGTGGCGCCACCAAAAGTTCTGGGGGGAAGGGGGGGGGGGGCTGCGAGGCCTCGAGTGCTAGAGGTTCCAGGTTCAATCACTGGTAAAAACTGGGATTTTTTCACGTGAACTTGGACTTCTAATAATTCCCCCTGGTCTCTGGGTAGTGAGATCGGATGCCCGTGTGCATTGCTGCGCACGTAAAACATCCCGTGGCAGTTGGAAATCGAAAAGAGTAGCCTAACGGCGCTGCCTGGGCAAAATTAGGAGTTACAAATCTACCAAAAGTATTTATGGATCCTTGCCGGTGCTACAGAGCTTCTTCGGACTTTAGACTTGAGTTTAAAGAAGAAGGGAGCACTTATGGGTTACACCCGAGTACCATGATGTTGATCCGTTATTCAAAACCTCAAACCAAAAGTTCTGAGTCTGAATCCCCATATATTGTGGTATTTTTAGAATCGACTTTACCACTCAGATAAATCTAGCCTAATATAGATTCTGGGATAAATCTCCAGAAGTAAAGACGGACAGTGGGGTATTGGTAAATAAATTGGAAAAAAAAAAAAAAAAAAAAAAAAACAAGAACCCCGAGATCCATGAGCTTCTTCGCTGATTATACTGATTTCGTGCCTTGTGTAACGCTCCTGACAGGTGGCTAGCCAGTCTGGGGGAGAGACCGAGCAACATGGGTTTACATCACATGCGATTCTCCGTTAGAATTTAAACTTTTAGCTTAGTACCACCAATATCTTCGGATATTACTGAAGAAAGGCAGACAGGCACGCGCGCGCACACACATGCGTGGGCGTGCGCATACAGACACGCGCGTGCACACAAACACCACCTACACATAAGCATACACCACACCCACAAATGCGCACACACGTACGCATTGACACTTGGTCACACATACATTATCACACATGGGACTGTATTCGCTACAGTGATGCCAGTTTTTGATTTAATCGTTTACACACCTTAGATACTGGATTTGTTTGTCAACGGATTTAGTATTAAGGCCGTCCTTATCAAAGTTTAAATTGTTTGCTTGCCTTCCTGCGTCATACGGGTAAATAGTATATTTCCTGGAGAACCCGGTATCCGCTTGAGTAGACCGCAGGCTATGACGTCAGAAGGCGGAAATGAGGCTTGAAATTCTTGTATTGAAAAATGTAACTGTCTGATTCAACAGTTGGGATGGCGTTTGTTTTCTTTCATATTTCTCACATTTTCTTCATAGCCGCAAAAAGTTAAAAGTCAAATGAATGAAGAGGCGAAAGGCCTCCGCCAAGATGACCAACGTGGTGCATAGTGGTTGGATGACCAAGTCGCCACCGGAGAGAAAACTCAACTCTGCCTTCAAGATTTTTCGCTCTGTAAGTGTGTAGGGCACTAAACAATAAATATGTAGTACTGCTAAAATATTCTCAGATGTGGATATATATGCAGTTATTGTAACTCCTATTTTTAGTTTATTTAATTAGTAATTTGTTTGTTAATCTAATACTAATTGTAATGAATGGTAAATATTTTAACGATATCATTCAGTACTCAGTACGTCCGGCACGCGCAATTCTACAAAAATCGGCTCTTCTCCGAACTTCGACCCCCGCAGTGTGGCGGCCTGAAATATCCGTTCGGGGCTCAGTCCAATGAAAAAAGCAGACTTTTTGCCAAGGAACAAATCGCGGCAAAACTAGGACTACTTGACAATTTCAAGAGACGCAACATTGCAGACGTTAGTAGCAGACGATAAAAGCGACCGGTAACAATGTCGAGCGTTTCTGCAGACGATACTAGCAGACGATAAAAGCGACCGTTGACAATTTCAAAACATTACAGATGATGAAAGCAGGCTCTCCTTGCAATAACTGTCGCTAGTTGGACGACGACGGCCGCCTCATCGGAGTTCAGTCCCTTGGCTGCAGTGCAATTACGGAGTGGAAAAGAGGGAACGAAACAAATGACATAATTAGGGGTAGGGTTTGGGTTAGGGTAACACATGTAACGTCGAGTACTTATCCATAATGACGGCCACTATATCTTTGTGTGATTCGTGCCTTGTCCACTCCGTAATTGCACTGCAGCCAGGGGACTGAACTCCGACTAAGCGGCCGTCGCCGGCCAAGTAGCGACCGTTTTTGCAAGGAGAACTTGAAAGCGATATGGCGGGTAGACTACGCGCTCCCGCAGATTAGCAATACTGTTCTTCCGATAGAGGATTTAGCAGCGGTAGATGTCAGACTTGTTGGCATGCGCAAAACGCGATTAAACTCACCGCCAACCGTATCCCCTGTGCCACTACGCGCGGCGCGGATAGGGGGCTAAACTAGGTGCCTGGGACTCACAAGCAAAGTAATTGGAGAAAGTTGCAGGAGATGCGGTACCTGCTACTCGTGAGTCCCAGCCATCTAGTTTAGCCCCTATCCGGGGAATACGGTCGGCGTGAGGCATAGTCACAGAAACAAGTCCGCAAGTAACATATTGCTGAGACCCTGTTAGAGCATTTGTTTCGTTTTTACGAGCCGATCCTAGATTTGCCGCGATTTGTTCGTCGGCAGAAAGTCTGACAAGTCAGCATTTTACATATTTGTTCCTCTGCAAAAAGTCCGACAATGAAAAGTGTCTACGGTTGCTATTATCGTCGTCTGCTACTATCGTCTGCAGTGTTGCGTCTCTTAGAATTGTCAGGTAATCAGAAACAATAAGAAACAGGTCCGCAAGTAACATATCGCTGAGACCCTGTTAGAGCATTTGTTTCGTTATACGGAGCCGGCATATTTTTAATAGAACTGAGCCCCGAACGGATATTTCAGGTCGCCATAATGCGGGGGTAGAAGTTTGGAGGAGAGCCCAAAAATCTTATCACACTACTACGTACTATTAAAGAGTCTCAAGAATCTTTATTTAGAGTTAAACACGGCACCACTCACCACAGCTGTTATTATATCTGTTATAATAAGCAGGACTATTTTCCTATCTGTACACAGTACCAGCACTTTTTGTGTGTGCCTTATGTTTGTTCAGCACTACTGAAATAGACACCCTGCGGTGGGCATTGGCTTTCAGCACCTTTTTTTCTAGGGAGGAAAAAACTCTCAGTAGTTGAGGATGAATCATAATAAGTGAATTAATTAATTTATCACGAGTCTCATGAATAATTATAGTAATAAAAAAATAATTGGTAAAAAAAAACCCAAACCATAATGAGTAATGGAAAAATCAACAAAACTAGTAGCCCTAGTGTATGTAGCCTTTGACAAAAGATTATCCCATAGCAGATAGGGATACGATACTGCTAACCCAATTTGGAGTGAATTTCACAAATAAAGTATTGTTAAGTTAAAATATTTGATATTATTAAGTAATTAACTTGTTACGAAAATCATACGAGCACCATAACCTGCAAGTCCATGGCACAAGGCATTCAGCCTTAAAACATCAGGCTCGAGCTGAGCGGTCACCCCCAAGGTGTATTATAAAATAGGACAGTAATATAATAAAATAAAAATAGACAAGTATAAAATTCTTGTCAGCCTTACTGGGAAACAAGGAATCAGAAGTCTGCCTGCAAATAAGCCAGATCTGTAAATCATATTTTTCCAGAAGTCAAAACTCTCATTAAGAGAAAATCAGAAACAGATTGGAAAACCAACACTGGTTATAACTACGAAAAAGATTTTCTGAAACACTTGAACAGAACAGACCAAGTCACAGTTTTTCGCTTACGCACTGGACACTGCAGACTCAATAAACACTCACATAAATTAGGTATGAGCCACACAGCTCTCTGCCGGTGCCTTCGTGCTGAACAGACTCCAGAAAATGTCCTGCAAGACTGTCCTCTCCTGGCAGAGCTGCGGAGCGACATATGGCAACACCCAGTAGAACTGACAACTAAGCTTTGGGGAAACCTAAGAGACCTTGAAAAGACATCCCAGTTTATGACCCACAGTGGATTATGCGCATGACCAGAGATCGATGAAGACGTAAATCATATGTGCACACGGAACTCAAATTCTGACATAAAACGAAAATCCAGAAGTGGATGAAGAACCAGAACTTTCCACAGGGGTTTACAGCTGTTGGACGCTAAGAAGGAGGTTTATTTTAAGGACTTGTTATATTAAGTTTTGCTATACAGTTTTGAGGCGGGAGCCAGAAGACAACTTATCACAGACATCAGAAAGAGACAAGTCATCATTTTCCGGCCATGTTATAAGAACAGGAAAAATAGAACATGTGCACTGGAAAGATCTGTGGAAGGAGAGATAGAGGAAGACAATGAGAGAAGATTCCTGACAGTCTTGTTGCATGGCATGGAGGTGTGTTGGCACTGAACCGATACATGCTGCAGGAGATCATAGATTATGGAGAGGCATGATCGCCCACGCCAGTCGGCAGGGCACATGATGATGATGATACAGTTTTGGGTGTGAGGAATTAAAAATGATAGCACTATGCTTTTGGTTTGCTGGCACCTTTTAGTCTTTCCATGTCATATTGTTAATTTGTGTTATTGAGAAGCATAGGAATCAGCCACTTAAAGCCAAAGACAAAGTTTCTCCTCTCTTAGCTTAAAGCCTGGGCATTGTTGTAGAGATCATGTGTCGCCTATGCAGCATGATCCTTCACTCGGCCTGCCTTATTTACTCCAAAGGAAAAGTGACCCCAGAACTTTTTATCTGACAGTATGCACTGATACGCAGCATTTTTTTTTTTTAGGCCAGGCATGTTTTCTTCTACAGAAAAAAAAAAAAAACAAGCCCTTGCACCAATTATGTGTGGTAAAAAGCAGCCAGATAAGAATAGCATGGCTCTGTCCACCTGTCAGAACTTTCCCCCTGGACCAGCTGCCATAACACTACAACACTATTGCTAAAGTAGCATCTGGGAAAGTGATTCTTAGTTACCTCAGACTTGCGACCCCCTTTCTGTTATAATTTTTTTGGGAAGGTTTGCCACAGGCCTCCTACTGTTTAACCCACTGACTGCCCACGTTGCACGTTATGCGACTAGGCTGTGTTTACTTCTGTCAACGCCGCACCCTTTGCAATGATCGCTCGCCGTCATTTTAAAATCATGATTTTTGCAATGAATTTGGTTGAAGCTTTTAGCCGGTTCATTTCTCTATTTTAATTCAGGGACAACAACTTTGTAGCGCCTATACTAAATATTTGATGAATTTTCATTGTTAGCTCCCATGTCAGTGATAATTAAGGAAATTTTCGTCATGGCGTCAGATTCTAGAAGCGATCAGGGAGGTCATTTTTGTCATTTTTCTGTTGCTGCGCTGATTTTCTTGGTTTGATTGTCTTTGAAAAGTGAAAGTGAAGATAATATTGAACTGTTTGATGACTCTGGCTTTGATAAATCTATTACACCTTTCTTAGGAAATACTAGTGCAGCAGTTTCCGATGCCGATAGTTCTAGTGAAAATATTCAGTCAGAGCCCGTAGATTTGAAGATATTGTGTCTGTGCCTGCACATGAGGAAGATATCCCTGCCACTTTTGATGCAGAATCATCATCATTTTCTGACGAGTCTGAGAAAGATTTGCCACACCCCCCGCTGGTTGATGACTGGCATTGTGATTTGCAAGGCTTTCCAGAAGTACCCCTATGTACAGAAGAAAGTGCACAGTGTGTGTAGAAAAAAGATAAATATAAGAATCCAGAAATAAAAAGGAAAGCAAAGGGACCATGTCAAGTTACTGGTGTAGGGAATGTTAGGTGCCACTTTGTATTGAAGGATGCTATGACTTAGTACTTACTGAATTAGTCGCTTCTCTTCTATCATGGGGTGTAGAGGTTTGCCAGAGAGATCGCCAGACTTCTCTGTCTGCAGTTTTAGGATGCTATGAACTGTACCATACTGCTGACACATCTTGGCTGTAAAATGTGATACATGAGAGTGGTGTATATTTCTTTCTCTCTCTCTCAATCTCTCTCTCTCTTTTTTTTTTTTTTTTTTGCACACCATTTTATATTGATAAAACAATACAATTTCATGTTTTATAAGTCATGAAATTTAGTCTGTATTGTTGACAGAAAAAAGATTTTTCATATGTTTTTTCCACCCACTATACAACTACAGCCAGATGAAGATGTCAAACAAAATAAACCCAATTTTCTTTCTTGCAATTTGTAATTAGAGTTCAAATAAAGAAATTCATAGTCAGTTGCTTGGTTGTTCCCTGTGTTGGTTCCAGGACTTGTTTTGGGAGCAAGGGAACAGGCCGACTGCTCCCAGCAAGCGTGTCCTAAAAGGTGACTAATTAAAGGTGTGCCGAAAGCAGATGAGTTGGGCCAACAGGCTTGGATATCATAGCCTAGCTGTAAACCACAGCACTACCGGCTGCCCTTCTGGGGAGGAACACGGAAGAAAAAGCCTAGTACAGTTGAAGTTAAAATTGAGAGGGTCAGCTTCATTGTATTGGGTTATGCCACATGGCTGTCGCTCCCCCCCCCCCTTTCTCTTTCTATCTCTTTCAGAATGTTTAGCTGCCTATCGAGGGCCGCACACAAAATACAGACTGTATAGCTCCAGCAATAACCTCACTGGGATACCCTTAGAATCTGCACTCTCGACCTGAACCGTGTGTTTTTAAAAACAAATCCACGACTTTTAGAACACAATGGTTTGGCCACTTCACCACCAAGGATCCCGGTGTTTAGTACTGAATGAGCTGTGAGTGGATTGTTAGCCACTCAGATAAAGCCTACTTGACATTCTAATGAAGTCATCCTCTTTCACACTAAATACTTGGTCTATTCTGTGTATATGCAGAAGTTGTTAGCACTCCATTTCTTTGACTTGACTTCCTAGTTCTGTATCCTGTATGTTTGCAAGTCACATTAGAGTTGATATTGCCAGTTGATTTATATTTAAAGTTTAACTGTTGTTCAGTTTCAGTCTGCTGGTTAAGCAGACAAAAAGATTGTGTGATGCAGTTTCTTATTAATATACATCTTAAAAAAACACACAAAAACCCATAACTACTGAAATGAGCATAATTTCATCATAATTTGGACATTCAGAATCTTAGTAATTTAATGTTTGAAATTGTTCACAATGCACACAAGAATGCTTTATAATTCAAGCTGTCAGTTGACGGTTCTTTTGCGTTCGATAGTGTTTTGGCATACAGGCTTTCCTGGCAACTAATAAATGCATGCCATCGGATAACTATGCAGTTTTCTATTATTGTCTTTTACTTCATAGTTTTGGTCATTGTTAATCAGCTTTTGTTCTTGGTATTTGGCTTTTGTTATGGTTGGTTAGTAGGACTGACTTTTCTTATAGTTGATTCACTTCTTATTTATAGATAACTTTTGTTTGCAGTTTTATTTTATGGCTTTTATTTGAGTTAGTGAGTTTGGGTTCCTACTTGATTGGCTTTTATTTATGGTTAGTGAGTTTTGGTTGTTACTTGATTGGCTTTGATTTATGGTTAGTGGGTTTTGGTTGTTACTTGATTGGCTTTAATTTTTAGTTAGTGAGTTTTGGTTCTTATTTGATTGGCTTTAATTTCTAGTTAGTGAGTTTTGGTTGTTTGCTTGATTGGCTTTTATTTATAGTTAGTGAGTTTTTTAAAAGTCCTAGGAAGTACAGCCAGCTGGTGTGATGTTGACCACAGCACCGACAGAGTGCTGATTGGTCTATATAATGTAGGTCTATCGCTAGAGTAGAAGAAGGTTCTTTATCAACTGCACCTCACTTTCTTAGACCTGTCAGTTGTACCGTGGCCCAGTTATACAGAACATTTCAGGGTGACCCAGGCAGGCCCATACAGTTGTTGCAGAGGCCCATACTGTATTTGTACTCAGTGTCCTGTTTCGTCCTGTTTGCCTGCAGTAATGTGCTGTTGCCCTTTAGTATGTGAAAAAAAAAAAACTTTTTCTCATTCTGTCGTCTCTCTTTATCATTCTCTCCCACTTTCTCATCTTCACTTTCTCATTCTCTCTGTGTGTCATTCTCTCCATGATTCATTCTGTCTCTTTCTCATTCTCTTACCCCATTTTCATCTTTTTTGTTTCTCTTTCTCTCTCTCATTCTCTCCCCCTTTGTCAACCTCAGTTTCCTACACACTTGTGCATGCATACATCACTTCAAGGCAAACACAGAAGAAGTTCCAGATCTTAACTCTAACATAACATTAACTTTCCCGTCAACCACAGAATACCCATACATATAAAGCACATCCATGAAATGCTATCACACGGAGGTCAGCAAGCATCTTCCCACCTTGATTTCTGAATGTATCTGTTATAATATTCGACAGAAAACATCCAAACAGGACACTCCTAAAGTGACTCAATGTTTTACACATGTATCTGCTAATAGGAAAATCTTAAGTGGATTGCTTGTGTTTTATTATTTGTCTTTGTATCAGAGTTTACGATGTCTAAAGTTGAAGTGAAGAATGGTGTACATCCTGTCTGTGTTGTGCTATGGGACAGTTGTTAAAAAAAAAAACCACATTGAGCCTATGTTAGGTGTGTAAGGTATGACTGCTGTGTGTATGTGTGTGAGTGTGTTTCTTCTTATTCTGCCCAGCAATGGCTATTGGTATGTCGTGTTCTATCTAGTTCACAGGTAGGCTGCAGTCTCTTCACCTTTTCGCCCAGAAAATTTAAGAAAATGCCAGTTATTTGCCTTCTTTGACATGCTTGTTGGGGAGGGGGAAGGGGGGGGGGGGGGTAAGAAAATTCTTAATTTAGCCTGGAACCCATTAGGGAAGGTGTGTTTGAAATGTTAGTGTATATGGTTTACTTCACAACAGTGGTAATGGGTGCGAGAAATTTAGGTTTTTTGAAGAAAAATAGGAATTATAGATGAAACATAGTTACGAGTGATTCATTTTGGATTTATGTGAGGTTCTAGTAAGGAGTGGTATTTAAAGGGACAAATCGAGTGTGTTTACATCCAGCATGTTGATAAAGTGATTTGTATTTTATGACATTTTCTGAGGGATATGGAATGCTAAGATGTTGTTTCTTCGTAAATAAAAATACAAATGCTTAATAAGTTTAAAGTGTATCTTTCTGGCTTAGATAAAATATTGATTTAGCTCAGTATGCCCGAAAGCATGGGTAAGTGTCCTTACTTTCTGACAGATCAAATATAGGTTCAGCTCTATATGCCCAGTACACCTGAAGGCAGGGTCGTTACTTTCTGACAGATCAAATAATGGTTCAGCTCTATATGCGCATTACACCTGAAGGCAGGGACATTACTTTATGACTTAGATCAAATATAGGTTCATCTCTATATGCCCAGTACATCTAAGGCCAGGGACGTTACTTTATGACTTAGATCAAATATAGGTTCAGCTCTATATGCCCAGTACACGTTAAAGCAGGGACGTTACTTTCTGACATAGATCAAATATAGGTTCAGCTCTATATGCCCAGTACACGTTAAGGCAGGGTCGTTACTTTCTGACTTAGATCAAATATAGGTTCAGCTCTATATGCCCAGTACACGTTAAAGCAGGGACGTTACTTTCTGACTTAGATCAAATATAGGTTCATCTCTATATGCCCAGTACACCTGAAGGCAGGGTCGTTACTTTTTGACTTAGATCGAATATAGATTCATCTCTATATGCCCAGTACACCTGAAGGCAGGGTCGTTACTTTTTGACTTAGATCAAATATAGGTTCATCTCTATATGCCCAGTACACCTGAAGGCAGGGTCGTTACTTTCTGACAGATAAAATATAGGTTCAGCTTTATATGCCCAGTACACCTGAAGGCAGGGTCGTTACTTTCTGACAGATAAAATATAGGTTTAGCTCTATATGCCCAGTACACCTGAAGGCAGGGTCGTTACTTTCTGACTTAGATCAAAATAGTTTTAGCTCCAAATGCCCAGTACACCTGAAGGCAGGGTCGTTACTTTATGACTTAGATCAAATATAGGTTCATCTCTATATGCCCAGTACACCTGAAGGCAGGGTCGTTACTTTATGACTTAGATCAAAATAGTTTTAGCTCCAAATGCCCAGTACACCTGAAGGCAGGGTCGTTACTTTATGACTTAGATCAAATATAGGTTCATCTCTATATGCCCAGTACACCTGAAGGCAAGGTTGTTACTTTCTGACTTAGATCAAATATAGGTTCATCTCTATATGCCCAGTACACCTGAAGGCAGGGTCGTTACTTTCTGACTTAGATCAAATATAGGTTCATCTGTATATGCCCAGTACACCTGAAGGCAGGAACGTTACTTTCTGACTTAGATCAAATATAGGTTCAGCTCTATATGCCCATTACACCTGAAGGCAGGGACGTTACTTTATGACTTAGATCAAATATAGGTTCAACTTTATATGCCCATTACACCTGAAGGCAGGGACGTTACTTTATGACTTAGATCAAAATAGTTTTAGCTCCAAATGCCCAGTACACCTGAAGGCAGGGTCGTTACTTTCTGTCTCTTCTTGTGTTGTTAGTGACCTTGCAGAGACATTGTTCATTGTCCATTTTTATATAGCATCTCCAACGCCAGTTCTCTTGATAGACAGGTCTGCCTGCCCAGTTCTTAACCCTTTGAAAATAAAATTAGTTCTCTTACTGGAATTTAGTGATACATGACCTAAAGAATAGCGGGGAGTAAAGATGTCAAGGTACCAAAGAACATAGTTCTGGGTCGTCGTCCTCATGTAGCCGGTCTTTTTTGCAGAACGTCGCTTTTATCATGGTCTGCCTACAAGAAACTCTGTCCCATAAGGTCTGGTGCACTTTCCTAGTCAAGGTATCACTTATATCTTGTGTCCATCTTTCTGCTGGTCAGCCCCTACACCTTTTTCCTGGTAACATGCCTCCTGCTGTTATTTTTTTCTGTCCAATTTTGTTTAATCATAGATATTGATTAAATCTATGAGAACACAAAAAACCCATGTTCTGGCAGAATTTTGTAGTTTAAAAAAATATATGTTTGGATATTTTTCTGTCTTCCAGCAATGGAAAAAGCGCTACTTTGTACTGCGCAAACCCTCCGGTAGTCTTCCCGACCAGTATGAACTGCATTATTACAAAGATCAGAAGTGCAACACTAAAAAGGGCTCTATTGACCTGGAACAGTGTGAGCAGATCATTGAAGCTCTAGACTCTGATGTTTTTCCGTACCTGCTTGCCATCAAGACTTATTATAAAAACAAGGTGAGGGAGTCTTGCTGTAAGTGTATGGCCAGTACCAGTGGGATGCTTAAGAATATACTAAAAGATCGAATTTGTACGCAAAGTATTATTTCACCTTATTATTATTCTTGTTAATATTCTGCTGCTTGTTGTTATTGTTGTTGCTATTTTTCTTCTGCTTCTTTTTCTGCTGCTTCTTCTGCTTCTGCTTCTTTTCTTATTTTTCCTTCACCTCCTGCTCCTCCCTTTTCTTCTTTTCTCTAGCCCCTTTTTCTGCCTTTTCAGCATCATGTTTTAAAAAGACATCTCGTATGGGACTTGGTGTGTTCTGTGTAGATGCTGGTTTTCACAGCTTTGAGTATTCCATCTATCTCCATCCTGTAGCTTTCCTTCCATTGTATTGCAATGACAGATCTGTTGCATTGTCCAAAAAAAAAAAAAAAAAAAAAAAGACTAGCTTTCAAAGCGCCTGTAAAATATAGTTCTTCTGAAATTCCATGCCGTGTGGCGTTGCTCATCATGTATATCCACAACCTTCTGTCTCATGTACTTTCAATCAACTCTGATACAGATGATCCACCATGTCATAATGTCAAATTATCCAGCATCTTCTCTCTTGGCCTCCCTCTGCCTCTCTTCCCCTCCAACTTTCTGACTGTCATGTTGTACTCCAGTTTTCTCATCACATGTCCAAAGAATACAGATTGTCTCTTTCTGATGTGGGCAATCAGTTCTCTTCATGAGTCAGTTTCTTTTAGGACATCTTCATTACTTTTTAAAAAAAATCTGTCCAGTGTATTCTCATCATTCCTCTAGGAAACCACATCTCCGCAGCTTCCACATAATTTTTTTACCAATCTACCAACTGTCCATGATTTACTTCCATATTTCAGGTTGGGATTTGTATAGCTTTTAAGAATTCTCTTCTTGGTTCTAATTGACAAAGAAAGAGTGCATAGTCATAGTGAGTGCATAGTCATAGTGAGTGCACAGTCACAGTGGGTGCATAGTCACAGTGGGTGCATAGTCACAGTGAGTGCATAGTCACAGTGAGTGCATAGTCACAGTGAGTGCATAGTCACAATGGGTGCAAAGTCACAGTGGGTGCATAGTCACAGTGGGCGCATAGTCACAGTGGGCGCATAGTCACAGTGGGCGCATAGTCACAGTGGGTGCTGCTTTAATTTTGCATCTTAACTGATTAAAAACAAATAGTGTGCATCATTAGTTTCTTTGGGGTATTTTAATAGTCTTTTAATGTTCATTTACATCTGAAGGTCCGCACATATTACTTGGCAGCTGATACTGAACAAGAGATGAATACGTGGGTTCAATGGCTGTGTCACGTGTGTGGGCTCAAGCCTGAGGATCAGCGTAAGTTCTTTTCTTTCTGCTATCCATGGGTCCATTTGTTTTTCTTCTTCTGAAATTAACATTTTGTTATTCATTTTGCCTAGGTCTCTAACGTTACTATGTGGATAGGAAAATATGGTTGTTGCTGTTTAATTTGTAACACAGGGAAATTGGAGATGTTTGAATCCTTTTGCTGTTAGCATAATCTTATTAGTGTATTTGTTTTGATTAATTGTAGTTTCAAGAATTTCTATTGTCCTTTGTGTACTTTTTATAAATAATTTTTACTCTGTCGGTCTCAGGGCCATAAATGATCCACTGCTCTCCTCACAAAACAGTTAGTTGTGTATCCTTTACAGGACGTTGCAGAACCAACTTCAACATTTTTTGGCTGTTATGGTTTTCCTAGTCATATTTACGTCCAGTAGTTTGCCATTGCTTTCTGGAATGTCCGCATCTCGATACCACTGTCGAAACAAACGCAAGGCCTGCAGCTGGGATCAAACCCAGCACCCCGGCATTACGAAGCTCGTAAGCATGTTGTAAAAGGCTACTAATTAGGGGTGTTTGCTTCCTCTATATGCACATGAAATATGGATGATAGATAAGCAGACAAGTTTAGGCTCAGCGGTTGTAAAGTGGTTTCTGAGGAAAATTTAAGAGTCTCACAGTTGCAAAATCATTTCTGAGGAAACTTAAATATTCTCACAGGGGGCAAAGTGATTTCTGAGGAACATTAAAGAATATTACGGATGTACCCCCCCCCCCCCCCCCCCCCCCCAAATCACAACACGAGACAGTCCTTCACAAATAGATGTAAATCGTAAATTGATTAAAGACATTAGATGAAGATGTTTCAAGAGTTTTTGATGATAAATAAATGAAATCCTCGTGACAACAGGTAAACTTGTAGCTTGTAGGAAAAATGCAAGGGTAAGACAGAAAAGATAAATGCATGGATGGCTTGGTCACGTGATTTAATTAAGACAAGAACACTGACATGCTCTGAGACTTTGGTAATGGTAAATCTTTGCTGTGTGGGTTTCTGGCCCCATTGAGGGTGTGGTGGGGAGGGAATAAGACCCTCCTACTCCCTATCAAGCATGCCCCAATAGATGACAATTAGAAACTTTTCCTCCAAAGTCGGGTCGCATCTGTCTGAGAGTCAAGGAACCAACAGTCTGCATACAAATAAACAGATCTGTAAATCAGATGAGCACGCAGAATTCAAGTTCTGAAACAAGACTGAATTCCTAGAAGTGGACGAACAGCCAGAACTTTCTGCCAGAGTTTTCAGTCGGCGAACGCTAGGAAGAAGGAGAAGGTGATTATGAAAAGGCAAACCAAGACAGTTAAATTGATTAATTCCTAGACAAAGCCTTTGTTCAGTGAATTCATTTGTACTATCTTGGCTGCAGTCACCCTTGTCTTTGTTAGTTTTGAATGATCTGTACACTGTCTTGTCTTGTTGCTGTACACAAGAGGTGTTCAGAAAGTAAGTTGCGTTTTATAGTTTGAAGGGCACCCATTTAATCGAACCCATTTCCAGACCTTGTCTGCTATATATATATCCCAGTTAAAACCCAGATGGGTTGAACAGGGTATTGTTGTTTAAATTACTACTACTACTACCAAGACATCCTCCACTTATCAGCATGGACTTGATGCTGCCTGGGATAGGAAATAAACGTACCTGCAGAGTTAGGATGCTTTAAATTTGTAGCTGTCTTAGACAGTAGTTATGTTATCATGGCTGATGTTACTGCACATTGGAAACTCCCATGTGTGTTAAGTCCTCAGATGCAGCAGCCACACCAAGGTGCCTTTATTGATTGTTCCCATGAGGAGTTGGTTATAATGTCCACTGTCTCGACCTCAAAGGCAGCATAGACCTGCCTCACCATGCTTTGTGCTTCAGAGCAGTAGTCAGATGTACCAACAGTGTTAATTAAACTGAGGGCTGTCTAGTACAGTTGTAGCTCAATAGTCCTACACTGTTGGTATTTAGTGGTGTGGCGGCTAGACGCTCGCCTGTGGATCGGAAGTTGTTGGTTTGGGTCCTAGCTGCACCTAACTTAAAAAAAAAACAAAGGCATTGGTTCCCAGGTGGATTCAGTCTTAAATGGGCACCAGGTACAGTCGTGGGAAGTAAAGGTGGCTGGTGTGATGTTGACCACATCATCTACCGAGTGCCGATTGGGTCTATGAAGTGTAGGTCTAGCCTAAAGGCGTGGGAAAAGGGTCCTTTATGCTATGTTAGTATGAGTTAAACTGGTGGCTGTCTGGGATGGTAGTAGTTTAATATACCTACAGTGTGAGTATAAATAAAATCATGGCTGTGTTGGACAGGGGGGTTAATTACACCAGCAAGGCTAGGATTAGACAGAGCTTCCGCATCTCCTGCAGCTTTGCTCATGAGTCTCAGCCATCTAGTTTAGCTCCAATCCACACCGGCATGGGAATACTCTCGGCGGTGGCGGTAGTCGCCGGAAATCCGCAAATTAAGTCCCTGGAAGTGCGCAATTTACATGTGACTGAGGCCCTGTTTTTGGCCGCCATAATATGTGCCCGTTATTCAGAGGATAGCCTAAAATTGCACTAAAAATGAGTTAAAAGAAAATTGAATTTGTGAAAGAAAAAGAAAAGAATTGTTTGAGATGCCTGCAGATTGTGGGCCCTGATCTGTAGCTTTTTTAGCTTGTACCGAAAACTTGCACTGGGTGATACTGACAAGAAAATTGAAAAGACACATATGTTATTCCCTCTCGATTTCTTCCTGCCTGTCTGCAAGAATTATGTAAAAACATATACCCATATGTATGTATATGTCATCCATAAATATGTTTTATCCATGTCTGTGTTTGTTTTATTAATGTATCTATATTTGTTTTATCCACATGTTATGTATGTATGTTCTATATACGATTCATAAATGACTGTTTATTGCATCTTCTTATACACCCCACCTTCACCTCACTACCTCCCTCCCCTTTCGTCAATATATTGGACCCATCCACACACTTCTGCGTGAGTAATGACTATAATATTTTTACTGCATCAAATGGGTTTTTGTTTTTATGTTTTACTTAGCTTTTTTTTTTAATCCCTACTTTATTTTGTTGGGAGTTCTGCCGCTTACAACGGTTCCTTTGCTACCATTGATGTAATTGTAGTGTGAAATATAGCAGGTGCCACCCCTTGTGCTAGTTTCAGTAGTCATAACAGTGCATGAATGGGATGTAGCCCATGCAGACGGTTTGAAACCAAATAATGCATGGAGCTAGAGATCAAGCAGATCACACCAGATATCTAGAACGGGCACACGGTTTCAAACCAGATAATGCATGGGGCTAAAGAACAGGTTCGCAGTTTTGAAATAAATAATAATCAACCAGTCGGTCAGCCAGTGCATAAATCAACCAATCATGCATAAATAAACCAGTCAGTCAATACATAACCAGTCAGTCAATACATAAATTAACCAGTCAGTCAGTCACTACATCAACCAGTCAGTCAGTCAAAACATAAATCAACCAGTCAGTCATTTAATACACAAATCACCCAGTTAGTCAATACATAAATCAACCAGTCAGTCAGTCACTACATGAATCACCCAGTCTGTCAATACATAAACCAACCACTCAGTCAATACATAAATTAACACAATAGTCACTCAACGAAAACATCTACCAGTCAGTCAGTCAGTACATAAATCAACCAGTCAGTCAATAAATCATAAAACAGCGTAGTTACCGGTCAATTAAAAAATAATCCCTCTTTATTTTCTTCTTTTTGGCGTTCACCAGCTGTTAACTCCGGCAGACAGTTCTGGTTGTTTATTCACTCCTGGACTTTGTTTTTGATCTGGAACTTGAGTTTTGCATGCAAATCCTTTTTACATTTCTGGCTTTGTATGCAGACTGTTGGTTCCTTGATTTACAGGCAAATGCACTCTGACTTTGAAGAAAATACCCCCCGATTATTCGCCTCCTGTGATGTGCTTGTTTGAAAAGCAGTGGGTCTATTCTTTGTTCTCCAAAATAGAGCACTGAAACCCACCCAGGGATTCTATGTTCTTATCTGTTATTAAAATCTTGATGAAAAAAAGCAGATGTAAATTGCCCTTGATAATTTCATAACAAGAGCAGGCATAGATCCGTTAACTTTTCCCAGTAAACTTACGCTATCAACATATGTAACAGACGTAATAAGTCTTTGTAACACATACAGTTGCATGCATGGACGTATGACCGCATCCTTTATATGCTTGAACTTGTTTATCGCTAGAGCGCATTGATCTTGTGCATTTTTTTGGTTTTCTTGTTTATTGTAATCATATATTTATCTTTTTACTGGCCACCCTGAAATGGTTTTTTTTTGTGTTTTTTTTTTTTTTAAACAATACCAAGATTTTGTTGGCTCCCCCAAAGAATTGCCAATAATTTGGCTTGGTTTATGCAGGCCTGTTTTATTCCATTTATTATTTTACAGGATATGGATTTCTTTCTGATAATTTTGTCAAGTATCTCCTCACACCATTGTTTATGTGTCCTAGAATTGTCTTTAATTTGGCTTGTTTTTTACATACATATTTTCTTTTTCTATACATATTTCTTGGAGATGGTTTTCTTTCTTACGGTGTCTTATAGATGTAAAATGGTGATTGTGGAAAAACTATCATCCTGTGCTTGTCAGCAGTTGGCACGAGAGCTTATGCCTCTTTATACCATTTATTTTGGGTGTATTCTAGAATTAATAGGCCATTTGAACATAAAAGAACTGCCTGTGAAATGCACTGGCTCCATAAAGTTTCTAAAACACAAGAATGGATAGGGAACAAACACCAGCATTAGAGAGAAAGTTGGAATAAGACCATGTCTGGATTACATTGACAGACAAAGAATGAAATGGTTCAGCCATCTACTGAGGATGCAGCCAGAACAAACTGCATATGAATTTTTTTTTTTTTAAACAGCAAAACATCTGGGAGGAAGGTGAGTGAAAGAACAAGAAAGAGATGTATAAATTCTGGAACTGAAACTGCACAAAGATGAGCAAGTCAATCACCTAAGCGACCAGAGAAATGCAAGACATAAACAAACAAAAAACCATGACCCTGGGCTACAACCTGGTATCATTGGGACGACAATAGAAGATCTACTATTACACCTTTGAAACCGAAAGAGTTAATATTGGTTCTGTGTGAGAGCAGTATACATGATGCTGGGCTACACCCTGGTATCATTGGGACGACAATAGAAGATCTACTTTTACACCTTTGAAACCGAAAGAGTTAATATTGGTTCTGTGTGAGAACAGTATGCATGACGCTGGGCTACAACCTGGTATCATTGGGACGACAATGGAAGATCTACTATTACACCTTTGAAACCGAAAGAGTTAATATTGGTTCTGTGTGAGAACAGTATGCATGACGCTGGGCTACACCTTGGTATCATTGGGACGACAATAGAAGATCTACTATTACACCTTTGAAACCAAAAGAGTTAATATTGGTTCTGTGTGAGAACAGTATGCATGACGCTGGGCTACAACCTGGTATCATTGGGACGACAATAGAAGATCTACTATTACACCTTTGAAACCGAAAGAGTTAATATTGGTTCTGTGTGAGAACAGTATGCATGATGCTGGTTCACATCTCCCAACTTTTTTGGGGTCTATGACACAGTTTGTCAGGACAGACAGAAAAATACCAACTAACTGTAAATGAAACTAACCTCGGATTTAAAATTAGATACCCCCTGTATGTCATGAATGTATTAGACTATCTCCCCTGCCAGTTTATTTGTAAGACCATATGGCCTTATACTAGCTTGCATTGCATGTAAATTAACTTTGCCATGGAACACGTATGATGCACCCATATAACTTAATAGTTTTGGCTAATTTGTAATGTACGGTATACGCAAAATTGTGTCTTCTTCTTCTCCTCCTCCTTCTCCTCTTCTTCTTCTTCATCTTCTTCTTCTTCTTCATCATCTTCTTCTTTTTGTGTAGAGGTGTCGAAGAAGAAGAATTCATCCATACTTCACACATTCATGATTTGACAGTGTTTATGTTGTGTTGCATTGTGCCGAAGTAGCAAGCATGCAATTTGTGAATCTTTGAGAATTGAGAAAAAAAATTAAAACCAGCACCAAAGTGAGAATGTTTGACTCTAATGTCAAATCAGTACTAAACATGACATTCTACGTCAGGAAAAGAGGTACACTGGGGAGGATAATAGCCTTAGTCTAGGAAGTTTGAGGTTTGAACAATGGATCAACATCATGGCACAAGGGTAGTAACCCATAAGTGCTCCGTTATTCTAACTCATGTCTGAGACCCAAGAAGCTCAGCACAGTGCACAGGCTCTGTAGCACTGGCGAGGATTCTGAAATACGTTGGGTAGATTTTTATCTCCAACTTTTGCCAGGGCAGCGCCGGTGGGCTCCTCTTTTCGATTTTCAACTGCCAAGGGATTTTTTACGTGCGCAACAATGCACGCGGGTGCCCGATCTGGAAATTTAATGTTTTGACAGGGCTGACAGTGCACTTAGTCTTCATTGATAACTGGTCTATGAGGAAAGCTCTGACAGGTATACAGTTTTTTGCTCTACAGCACTTTCCAGGCTTCGTGCTGTGAGAGCGGGTCTTGTTAGTTACACACACCGTCTCCATGGGCTGTAATTCCCAGGACTTCCTGCAGCATAGTATATCGTTGTTGAGAAAGACAGATGTCAAAATCAGTGTGAATCAGTATGGATCTGAAGTCTGAGATAAGAAAAAACCATGCTCATGCGCGCACACACAATGGCATTTAATGGCCAACTGTTATCCTATATGGCCAGATCTCTGATATAAAGCCACTTCGCTCAAAGCATGACACTACCTAGCCCATGACTGACCCTTGGAGATATGTGAAATGTCTATAATTTTGAACCTAAGGACGGAGTTCTATAAAACGAATTCCAGAATTGAGAGCTTAAGGCAGTCAACTAAATACTTCACCATGAAGGACATTCATTAGGTGATGCCAGAGCTCTATAGGATTTATTACTGATTTCAGAACTGACATATCATACCAGGCATCCCCCGTGTGGGTTCCGGGGCCCCATTGTGGGGAAAACAAGAATAGACCCACTGCCTCCCCAAAAGCATGTCGTAAGAGTCGACTAACTGGGGAGCTTCCTTTGAAGTCGGAGTGCATCTGCCGGAGAGGCAAGGAACCAACAGTCTGTATTCAAGAGAATGAGATCTGTAAAACTGATGCACACGCAACACTCAGCTTCTGGAGCAGGACTGCAGTTCAGTAGTGGACGAGCAACCAGAACCTTCCGCCAGAGTTTACAGCTGGTGAATGCGAAGAAGAAGAAGATACCAGGCATATCCATAAATGCTTTGTCTCCTGCAACAAATGTCGTACGGTGTAAAGCAGGACTGTTCAGCTATGTTTACTCAGGGACCAAAATGTTACAAATATGAATTGTCACAAGTCAGAGGCCCGGTCGTCATCTTAGAATGATCAGTGATCGATTGACCACTTGCCCGGTCTCTGCGGGCCGGATTTGGTTCGAGGGCCGCTAGTTGAGTAACCCTAGTGTAGAGGCTGATTGTTTCAGTAGCACACTGATTATATACGCATCATTCTTTTCCTGTCATAAAAATATAAAGGAGGTAAAGAAAGTTGTAGTGTCTGTGCAGAAGCATATATGTTAAGCCTTGATTAGTGTGTCATTATACCTTTTGTTTGGTCTTAACAAACTAAAGAAATCTGGCGAGATATTGTAGCAGGAAGCTTAATGTATGATGGAAGCCTAGTGCAGTGGCTAAATGAAGGTGAACACACTTGGTTAAAGTTATTGTTTTACTATACAATATTTTTTTAGAGGAATTAGTTTAAAAGCTGATTAGTTCTTTGTATTCGTTGTCATGTATAAAAAAATTTTGTATATTTTTATAACAAATGATGTATTTGGTAATTTTATTCACCACACAGCGACAGACATACCTGACCCGAAACCTTCGCAGGCTGCTGGAGTTGTCAGGCAGACAAGTGTCCCTGCTACTGGTCTGGTTGTGGCCAATGGAAGACCAGCAAGTCCACAGAGGCCAGCGTCACCTGGTGCCACAGCCACGATAACTTCATCACCTTTGTCTGTGTCGCCTCAAGCAGCGGGAGGATTTCAATCAGCGAGTCCTCAGGCTGTGGTTCGAACACTGTCCGACTCCAGCCTGTGTTACATACCCTTAGGTAAATTTATTTGTATTTATCGTGTAGTCGAAACTCCACATAGAAGCGAGCATGACATTAGTCTTCTGATCGTCAGAAGAAGGCTCCCTTCTCTGAATGTTTCAGCCCCTTTACCTTCTTCTTCTGAGCTCACCAGCTGTAAGCTCCAGCAGAAACTCCTGGTTATTCATTCATTTAGATTTTGGTTTTATGCTAGGGCATGAGTTTTGTGTGTTCATCTGTTTTACTGGCTTATTTGTGTGCAGCTGGTTGTTCCTTGCCGCTCTTGTAGATGCACTTTGACTTCAAAGGAAGCTCCCAATTAGTCGACTCTAACGACTTGCTTTTCGGGGAGGCAGCGGATCTGTTCTTATTTTCCCTTCAATTGGGCCTCGGAACCCACACGGGGAACCACTCTGCCTTCTTTACACTCTCTGGCGGCGGGCCAACCTGGGTCGCAGTTTCCAGGTTTTGTTCTCCTGTTGTGCAGTCGAGTCTCACCAGCAATAAGGAACACATGGGTTTGCTGCTGATTACATATGTCTCATCTTGAACGTCGCTAGGATTACATCTCCAGGAGACACCACCCTGCCTTAGAGAAGGCGATCCACCTACTTCCTTTATCCTCTTCAGCCTGTTGTTATACCCCTTCGGTTGAGAGTCAACTTCGATCCGGAGGGAGTCAGCTTCGATCCGCCTACCTAGTTTTGTCTCCTTCAGGCATTATAGTATGTCCTGGCCGTAAAGTACTGGTCAACATAACCATAGATCAGGTCAGTGACCCCTGTCTTATCCCATTCACTTATCCGCAGCATCCAGGTATTTTTTTTCTGTTTGTCGTCCGCTTACTTTTCTATCCGTCTTGCCAGGTGTCACTAAGTTCTCTCCTAATCAAGTAATTCCATCTCCTAATCGAGTTTATTCCTTCTCATAACATGTGGTCCCCCATGTGGGTTCCAGACATCAACTTTCTGGGGGATAAAAGGATAGACCCACCGCTTCCTAACAAACAAAACATTTCGCACAAGGCGACTAATTAAGGATGTTTCCTTCGATGTTGGAGTGCCTCTGCTAGAGAGACAAGGAATTAACATTCTGTACACAAGTTAGCCAAATCTGTGAAAAAACTCAATTTCTGGAACAGGGCAAAAGTCCTTGAGTGGATGAAAGACCAGAACTTTCTGCTGGGGCTTATACCTTATTTTATACTGAGAAGAAGAAGATGACATAGCCACAATTTGTATCACTGTTTCTGTATTTCTGTATTCACATCATCCCAATACAGTTGTCGTGTGGCTCTGCTCTGTGTACGTTAGTAAATGTTTCCCGGTCCATATGTACCTTGGTTTATTTTCTGCAGCAGAGGGTTTGTAAAAAAAAAACTGCACTTGTGGCATTCAGACAGTGGTATCAAGGTCACACCGCAATAAGAATAAACTCACAGGGAGCAAGTACAGCGGGGATCTACAGTCATCAGTAGAAATTATCCTCTTTCGACACACGTTTCGGCCCACGATTCCTAAACGTATTCGGAGGTGGGCCCACCTGAGTTCATGAAGCTCAGGGCTGCTTCCCCGCCGCACAGAATTACCGGATGGTGTTATACTTTCGGCCAGAGACAAGACGACTTGGTGGTTTCGAAGGAGGTACTGTGAGATAAGAAGCCGCCACGGCAGCGTAATTAGAGCAGTCCGCATGCCTGGACGACCGAGCGACAAGCTTACTTTGGTTTACCGGACACATCTTGGACTTTTATTAGCAGTTGGCAGAGAGACACTGGCAGACAATTCGTACACGATGGACTTTTCAAAGGGATAAGAAACTCTTTTCCACTAGATACCCGGACCAACTCACCGAGGCCCGTCCCCTACGTTGTTGCGTTGCGTCCACAACCAGCTAGAGGCCCTTTCGGCCACCTCNCATCACATATGTACAATCCCACCTTTCCATCACATATGTACAATCCCACCTCTCCATCACATATGTACAATCCCACCTCTCCATCACATATGTACAATCCCACCTCTCCATCACATATGTCCAATCCCACCTCTCCATCACATATGTCCAATCCCACCTCTCCATCACATATGTCCAATCCCACCTCTCCATCACATATGTACAATCCCACCTCTCCATCACATATGTACAATCCCACATCTCCATCACATATGTACAATCCCACCTCTCCATCACATATGTACAATCCCACCTCTCCATCACATTTGTACAATCCCACCTCTCCAACACATTTGTACAATCCCACCTCTCCATCACATTTGTACAATCCCACCTCTCCATCACATTTGTACAATCCCACCTCTCCATCACATATGTGCAGCCCAACTTCATCAGATATGCCCAGTCCCAACTCCTCCATCAGATATGCCCAATCTAATTCCTCGGTTGGTGTGATCTGTGTAGTTGTAATGATTTCCCTAAATTTCAATATATCCAGTCACCACTTCTCAGTCACATATGTTTAATCCAACTCCTTCAATGGATCAGTCCAGTCCAACTTCATCAGATATGTCCAATCCAGTTCCTGCATTGGATATACCTAATCTAACTCCTCTATTAGGGTGATCAGCGTACTTGTAACTATTGTCCTAAATTGTGATATGACCAGTCCCACTTCATCGCATATATCTAGTCCAGCTTCATCAGATATGGCCAGTCCAACTCCTCTTTCAGAAATATGCAGTCCAGTTCCTCCATCGGATGCCTAGTCTGACTCCATCAGATATGCCCAATCCTGTTCCTTCATCGGATATATCCAATCCAATTCCTCCATCGTATGTCCAGTCTGACTATATCAGATATGCCCAATCCTGTTCCCTCATCGGGTCTATCCAATCCAATTTCCCCATCTGTTGTCTACTCTAGCTCCATCAGATATTACCAGTCCAACTCCTTCATCAAATATGCCTAATTCAATTCCTGCATCAGATATATTCAGTCCATTTCTTTCATCGGATGTTTAGTCTGACGCCATCCTATATGCCCAGTGCAACTCCTCCATAGATATGACCAGTCTGATTCCTCAGTCAGATGACCCATCTCATTCCTCTGTCAGATATGCCTAGTGCAACTCCTCCATCAGATATGACCAGTCTGATTCCTCAGTCGGATGACCCATCTCATTTCTCTGTCAGAAATGTCTAGTACAACTCCTCCATCAGATATGACCAGTCTGATTCCTCAGTCAGATGACCCATCTCATTCCTCTGTTAGATATGTCTAGTGCAACTCCTCCATCAGATATGACCAGTCTGATTCCTCCATCGAACGTCCAGTTTGACGCCATCATGTATGCTTAGTGCAACTCCTCCATAGATATGACCAGTCTGATTCCTCCATCGAACGTTTAGTCTGACGCCATCATGTATGCCTAGTGCAACTCCTCCATAGATATGACCAGTCTGATTCCTCCATCGGACGTCCAGTCTGACGCCATCATGAATGCCCAGTCCAACTCCTCCATAGATATGACCAGTCTGATTCCTCCATCGGACGTCCAGTCTGACGCCATCATGTATGCCTAGTGCAACTCCTCCATAGATATGACCAGTCTGATTCCTCCATCGAATGTTCAGTCTGACGCCATCATGTATGCCTAGTGCAACTCCTCCATAGATATGACCAATCTGATTCCTCCATCGGACGTCCAGTCTGACGCCATCATGAATGCCCAGTCCAACTCCTCCATAGATATGACCAGTCTGATTCCTCCATCAAACGTCCAATCTGACGCCATCCTATATGCCCAGTGCAACTCCTCCATAGATATGACCAGTCTGATTCCTCAGTCAGATGACCCATCTCATTCCTCTGACAGATATGTCTAGTGCAACTCCTCCATCAGATATGACCAGTCTGATTCCTCCATCGAACGTCCAGTCTGACGCCATCATGTATGCCTAGTGCAACTCCTGCATCAGATATGATCAGTCTGATTCCTCAGTCAGATGACCCATCTCATTCCTCTGTCAGATATGTCTAGTGCAACTCCTCCATCAGATATGACCAGTCTGATTCCTCCATCGAACGTCCAGTCTGACGCCATCATGTATGCCGAGTGCAACTCCTCCATAGATATGACCAGTCTGATTCCTCCATCAGATGACCCATCTCATTCCTCAATCAGATATGTCCAGTTCAACTACTCCATCGGATATCTTATCAGCTCCTCCACTGGACATGTCCCATCCTACTCCTCCATCAAATTAGTCAATTCCCACTTCTCCATCAAATCCAGTCCACATCTGCCATTAGATAAGTCCAATCTAACTCCACCGTCTTGTTATAATCGTGGTTGATTACTGTACTTTTGGTTAAATTTTTTCCAGAGAATTGCACAACTGGACAACCGGTTCCTGTTGATAGAAGAGAGAGTGTTGAAAGTGTGCCAGATTTTGAAGCTCCCGCCCCTCCCCAGAAGCTTCACAGCCAGAGCAATGGGACACACAATTTAGAAGATGAAGTGTTTTCACTTAGTCTATACGACCATCCTCCAGCACCACGATTGTCAGAAGCTTCAAGCCGCAAAGACTCTTCTGACCTGTACAAAGTGCCCCCAGTTCGGCCTGTTCGAGGAAGGACACTTGAAACGGACGAGACTGGAAGAGACTTATCCTATGATATACCACCACCACCTCGTGGCCACAGCCCTCACTCCAGCCTCAGTGCTCACAACGACTCGTGGGCTTCATCGGGTGGCGGGGATCGATCACCAACCCCAACCGAGTGTTATGATCATCCTCCTCCACGACGTGATCCGATAGTGTCATCTGATGGTGAAACTCCTCCAGCTCGGCCACCTAAACCAGGGCATCTTCAGTCCCCATACCAGAACTTACCGCCAGCTGGAAATATCTCGACGGAGCCAAATTTAATGAATACAGTCCTAGCACCCCCAAAACATCATACAGTTCGTCAGACCCCAGGATATGATGTCCCGAGGTCATCTACCCATCATTTGTCGCGAGCTCTTCAGTCAGGACACTCACATATAGTGGTGGTGCCTCCGCGACCCAGCCGCTACACCCCCACAAATCCCTCCACACACACTTACCTGAACACTCAGAATAAAGCTGGATCTAATGAACTACACCTAGTTTCTGGAGGTGGAACTCCAGCAGAACCAAATACAGATCTCACAGAATTGGGATTGGTTCTGCTTGCGGTGCCGCCGCCGCCACGAACAGATTCTGCAGGAGAGTCGTCTGATGCCAACTCTGCTAGTCCTTCATTATACCAGTCACCACCGTCTTCTTCCGCCTTACCTGTGCCATCAGGAGCACCAGCCCGCCCACCTGCTCGCACAAACCCACAACCTGCCTCCATTAGCCCTCGTGGCCTTGATGGTATCTCACTGAACGTTCAAGGTCAGTATGCTAATAAATTTTCTACTTAGAAGCTACTGAATTACTTTCTTCATTTTGCATTCTAAGTCTCCCAGTTTTTTAGTAGTGGCCTCTGGTTGCAATTTGGATTGGTAAAATATCTTCCATTTTGGCTTTGTAGTCAGACCTGTTTATTACCAGGACACTGTTTCCAGGGTCTTGTTTGAGAATCATTAGATGTTTGTTGATCTTTAACAGTAGATAATCAAGTGGCTCACGAAAACAAAAATGTCATTGGCTCTTTGTTTTATAAATAGTTATAAACATTTTTTATTTTTTAATTAAACTGTTGGGAAAATGTGAGTTTAACAGATTACTTCAAGTACAACTGCAGCTTCAAAATCGCTTGAGATCTCCCTTGTTACTTCCTTGTGCCCCCACCCTTAGGTTGAGAACCACTGGTTTAGATGGACAGTCACTTGATTAAGCAGTTTTACAGAGATTGCTAGGGATTGTCACTGGAGCTAGGCAGTTTGTGTTCTGTGCAGTGAAGTCTGGCTCTCTTGGCTCTAATTTTAACTTAAACTTTGCACATTTAGTGGATGAGTTTTGATTTTTCCCTTGCTGTTTTTTTACATTGTTACATTTTTTTTACTTACTTGTTCATGCATTGGATTGTGTTCTTCTTTAGCATTCCAAACCCTTGAGGTTCATTACTGTAGATATCTCCCCTGCCTCTGTCATTTCTTTGATCGAACTTCTCTTGTTGAAATACTGCCCTCATGTATAAGATTACCCCTATTTTTAGCCCAAAATTAGGAAATAACTATTTTAAACACATTTCTTGTATAATACACACACACACACACCCACACACACACACACACACACACACACACCCCCCCCCCCCCCCATTTTTAAAGTTAATAAATTTGGAAAAATATATGTTCTACACAGGGGAAAAAATACTGTATATCTCTAGTATCTACCATTACCTATATTTCTTTACCATTGCAATAGATTGTAATTGGATACTGTAATGTGTCTCCTCCACACTCAATCTCTCTGGTGCAGATTCAACACTAATTCTGGTGTCTAGGTGTTAGGTCACAGTTCATTCTAGCCAGACGGCACTTCTCTTAACGGCCACACAACTTTAAATGACGGTCGACAACAGGTGACGCATTTCACAAGTTTATTGTCAACATAACACAAGCGACATGAATCAACAGATGAACTAACTTACGCCATTCGGGCAATCTCGCCTTGCTCACGCATTGAGTCTCTAGCCATGCTTCAGACAATGGACACTGGCATGTGCACGGCTGGCTCAACTAACATACTGTGAAACACAACGGCTGGCCTAAACGATCATTCAATAGTGCTGCCTGCCTTGTCGTTCAGCACTAACATTCATTCGACTCTGATTCAGATCCATGTGTGCACTTCTCACTCTGGATTCACCTTCACAGATTCAGCTTCACATCCTTCCACCCTTCCAATCTGGGACCCAGTCACAGAATGACCACCTCATTCTCAATCCCCCAGATCTGGCATTCACACATGACTCACTCACTCTTGTCTTTTCACCATATATCCGTGAAACCCATGCTATCAGGGACTTACCCAATTATGCCAGTCATACCCTGATGTTATCCCTATTTATAGCATCATTACAGATACAAATCTAATAATGAGATACCTAGTCTGTGGAGTAAACGCTTAACAACCTAGGTCTACTCTCAGCCATCTATATGCGGTAATGCCGAATCGTAAAAAAAAATAATTTATGTGACATCTCAGTGGTAAAGGATGTTGTCTTTGGGAATACTGGAACCTTCCGCAGTGGAAATCAAATCCTAATGCAGTGTCGCAGGTCATGAAATTGTTAAACCTATTCGCTGATCTCTTAACCACAGATCCGCACAGCTCAATGAGTTGACTTGTTGAGTTGAGTCAAGAATTGACATCACAGCACTCGAAGCATTCCCATGCATTCTCTGTCCTCAACTTCAGCAGCCAGCACAGAGTTTCAATACTGATGATACCGATCGTAATCTGGTTATATGTCTGTCTTGCCTTTCCCCTTAGTGTAGTGAGCCAGCTTGATCCTCTAGTTACACCAAGATGCCTCATTCTCTCGAGGTCGTAATAATCTTGTTTCGCTTTTGACTCCATTGCTTGATCTCATAGGGCCCTGACCACATCTGCCTTGTCATGTATCAGTTCACCACCCAGTGGTGCAGATCCTTCCAGTCTGGCTGCCTGTTACGGCTCAGTGATTACCTGGTTACATCCTGGTCTTCCCTGCTTCTTTCTCCCATCCAACTATCCTGTTGTCACAATGTACTGAAGTTTTCTTTGTCTCATTACTTGCATCAAGAATATGTTTAGACAGGATTTAAATGTAACAGCCTGGTTTCTTTTGATAGTAAGTAATTTTAATTCTTTCTTCTGGTTTCTTTTGATTGTGAGTAATTTTGTTTAATTCTTCTTTTTTGTCCTACTATTTATGCTGTAAAGTGTCACAGAGAGGAGTTAGATCTAGTTTCCTGTCTTGCTAGTTGCCTAGCTTGTGGTAATGTCATTTGCTTATCTGTGATGTCTGCGTTTCTCCATCCACCCACATCTTTCTTGTCAGCCTGCTGTTCTCATGTACTCATCTAACTGCTGGCTGATTTTGCATGTTTTTCAATTGCAGATGAAAATACAGCTATAATCTTCAGTACACAAAGGACCAGAAGTTTCAAGCGAAATCAAAATACCAACAATATCTCTCCAAAACCCAGGTGTGTATCATTCATTCAAGCATGAGAAATACATTCACAGGTAGTGATCAACATTTATAGAAGCAGAGAAAAGAAATGAAGTTTAGAGGGCACACTAAATAAAATAAAATAAAGGAACCTTCTTACGCTAGCGGGTGAAGGATGTAGAGTCATATTTTGTAGTCTAGTCGGCCTTTGCGGATTTGGTCAACAACAGCTGGGCTACCTTTACTTCACAGGAGATTACCTGGGCCACTTTTACTTGACGGGAGATTACCTGGTACCCAATTTCAGGTTGGGTTGACCTGAGAGCCAAGATCAGGTCTGAGAAAACTGACTCAGTATGGATTCAGACCCTTCCCTTGTGTGTTCTGGGGCCCTCTCTGTGAGGAAAAAAGAATTTACCCACTGCCTCTCCTGCAAGCGTGATATAAAAGTCTACTAATTGGAGGTTTCCTTCAAAGTCAAAGTGCATCTGCCTGAGAGGATAGAAACCAACAGCCTGCACACAAGTCAGATCTGTAAAATGGATCTGCACGCAACACTCAGCTTCTGGAACAAGTCTAAATTCCAGAGGTGGTTGAACAGCCAGAACTTTCTGTCGGAGTTTACAGCTGGTGACTGCAGAGAAGAAGAAAAAGGCTTCAGACACAAGCTTTTGAACCAGCAGGCCATTATAGAGGTCACCCTAGATAATAAAAAAATCTTCTTCTTCTTCTTTCACTCACTTCAAAAATAGATTATCTATATTTGCAGTGTTATCTCTAGTATGAACTTCACTGTCTATTGTTACGACCCGTAAAGTTTGGCTTCGATGTTTCTCTTGGGCCAAAAGTTTTGGCTTGATATGTTGTATTTGGGACAGTCATAGAGGACGTGATCTATTGTCTCAGGTGCCAATCCACATGGCTGATTTGCCAATCTTAACTTTAACTTGTATATACATGTGGCTGCCAAGTTGATTGTGTAAAATGAGATTAATTCAGTATTACAAAATATGGAAAGCTATAGTGACTGCATGAAGACTCAGAGCTGCAATCTGCACATGACAGCAGTGCTTTGCTGTTTGAAGAAGGATTAATGGAGGCATGGCCAATGAGATTATTATGAGAGTATTATTTTAACTTGTGTCTGCAGTCCCAAGTTGAACCCTGCAGCCATGTCTGCTCCAGTTCCTGCACCTCGACCAGTCCTTCCCTCAAGGCCGAAAGAGATATCTTCAGATGAGGACGAAGATGCTGTAAGTTGCTGTTTTCCTTGGCTGTTTTAATAAAGGTTTAGGGGCTTACAGTTGGATGATATTATTTGAAAGCGACAAGAGATGTGGTTTTATAGACAAATGGTTTAGGTTTAGATGACGGATCAACATCATGGCACACGGTTAGTAACCCATGAGTGCTCCGTTTTGCTTTTGACTCAAGGCTGAGTCCGAAGAATCTCCGCGCAGTGCACGAACTCCGCAGCACCGGCGAGGATCCTGAAATACTTTGGGTAGATTTTTAACTCCAAATTTTGCCTAGGCAGCGCCGTTAGGTTACTGTTTTTTGATTTCCAACTGCTAAGGGATTTTTTACGTGCGCAACAATACACACGGGCATTCAGTCTTACTACCCAGAGACCAGGGGAAATTACTAGAAGTCCACATGAAAAAATCCCAGCCTTCACCGGGTCCTGAACCCGGAACCTCCAGCACTCGAGGGGAACGCCATGCCTTGAGGCCACAAGAAACTGACTCATGAAGAAAACTGATCGCACTCATCAGAATAACACAGTGTACATTCTTTGGTCGTGTCATAGGATAGAAAAACCTGGAGCCATATCGTGACAGTGGGAAGGTTGGAGGGGAAAAGAGGCAGAGGGAGACCACAAGAAAAGATGCTGAACAAGCTGACATCATGGCATGGAGGTTCATCTGTGTCAGAACTGATTGAAAGTACACAAGACAGAAGGTTGTGGATAGACGTGACTACCAATTTCCAAAGACTATAATAGGAAGGGACTTAAATATAATAGAAAACTAAATATTGATGTATCAGAAAGACAAAACTTTGCCTGTAGAAGAATTGAATGGAAGTAGACCATAAGACAGACTAAGAATATGATGGAGAAATATACATAATCATATAGCAGGTCCTTTGCAGAATGTTGATCTCATCACGGTCTGCCTAAACGAAACATCTCTCGCCAGCTCTCTCGCCTCGTGTTCTTTCATATTCAAGGAGTTACTTATATTCTGTGCCCATCTTCATGTTAGTCGGCCCCTACCCCTCCTTCCTGGTATCATGCCTTCTTCTACCATTTTTTTTTTTTGCAATCTACCATGGTGCTTGATATGACTAAAATATTTCAGCTTCTGAGACAAGATTCTGTTTATTAGCTAATCTTCTAATCTTCCTTGATATTCACATCTTTTAAAATGTCAGTATTTCTTCTCTTTTATGTCCGTGGTATTCTGATAATCTTCTTATAGCTTTTCAGCTCAAACTCTTATTTTCTTTCTGAAAGACTGGAAGAAAGTCCACAACTCACATCCCTATGTCGCTACAAGTAAGACGCATGCTCCCAAAATTTCAATTTTGATTTTCTTGCTGGTGCTTAACCATAGACTTTGAACGCGTAGAGACCTACAAACACGTGGAGTCACCAATTTAATAGAGAAGTCAGGTCACAGAGATGAGCGGAGGCTGGTGATATCTGTATCAGTGAACCTCAAGAGCTTGGAATGCTTAAGAATTAATAGTAGTCTGAAGTTTGTTGGCATAAACTAAAAGGATCAATTTCTATGCCATAACGTCTACTGGGTATTTATTGCTAGCTTTTACATTTCGATGGAGCACTTGGCTCTCACTGGGTGGTATCGGTGTCATGTTAGCTAACTATACTTTATGAAAGTACCCTTTTAATGCTCTTTTTACGGATTTGGGTTGACATTTTGTTTTTGGGCAGTGCCCAATGTGCTTGAATAATGTACTTCGGTAGGCTGTAACTGCATAGTGACTTAACATTTTGCGTATGATTATATTTAAACACACAACTTTTAAACATTTTTTAAAAGATATATTTCTTGGGAAAAGGGGGGGGGGGGGGGGGGGGGTACAAATTTGAGGAAATTTTAACAAATAGATCTTTGTGTGAGTTGAAGATCTAGGCTCCATTGGGGAATCACAGTGTGAAGACTTGGAAAAGAGTCTGGTGAAGGAGGAGGAGGCGGTGGCTGAGAAGAAGAAGCTTATGCAGTTATTCATAAATGGTGTTTATTGTAAAAGATTTAAATAGTAGTTGTAGTAAACAACACTTGTATTTCTTTTTTATCTTCAGAGGCAACATGAACAAGAAGAACAGGTATGGATGTTAATTTTATTGTTCTATCAAAGCTGCCTTACCTTTGTGTTACCAGGATGTTATAAGAGAGGCAATGAATATGCTACGCTTGTGCTAACAAAGATGCCTTACCTTTGTGTTACCTGGATAAGAGAGGCAGTGAATATGCTACGCATGGTGTAAAAGGACTAGTTACTTCATTAGGCAAAGGATAGTGAATCGACACAGAATTCATGTTATCACTTCCCACACACCAAGGGATAAACTGAAGATGGGATCCGAGCGCTTTATGAACTTTTCCCGATGTGCAGTGCGGATAATCTGTCAATCAACAAACTAACTTCATTTTGTTCAAATCTGTTTCAGACTTTCAAAGCTTTACTGCAGTCAGCTTATTTTGATATATGCTCTGGCCTCTGACATAACTGCAGCATATCTTTTGGTCTTGTCCTGCTTGTTTTATATTTGAGTTTTTCAAGTTTTTTTATTGTGGTTGTAGTGTTCTTGCCTGGTTTGAATATCATAATCTAGTAATTTCAGAGTCAGTTTAATTTTGTGTTGTGTTTTGTTTCTTGTAATTATGTTGATGAAAGCTAAATGAAGGCTAATACTGTACCACATAGCCCTTTATATGTTGTAATTGTCTTGTAAAACTCACATATAAGTTACACTATTCCAGAATTGTTTAGATGTAAAAGGCAGCGACATAGAGTTTGTCTGAAACTGGAATCTCATACTGTCGACAACTTTGGCTGCGGTTTTGAGGTTTTGAACAACATCATGGCACACGGGTAGTAACCCATAAGTGCTCCGTTCTTTTTCTAACTTAAGTCTGAGTCCGAAGAAGCTCAGCTCAGTGCACAGGCTCTGTAGCACCGGCAAGGATCCTGAAATACTTTGGGTAGAATTTTGCCTGGGCAGCGCGCCGTTAGGCTACTCTTTTCGATTTCCAGCTGCCAAGGAATTTTTTTTATGTGCACAACAATACACACGGGCGTCCGATCTTACTACCCAGAGACCAGGTAAAATTACTAGAAGTCCACATAAAAAAATCTAGCCCTCACCGGGGCCTGAACCCGGGACCTCTAGCCCATGAGGCAGACACCATACCCCGAGACCACGCAGCCCCCCCCCCCCCCCCTCTCCAATTAGTTTTTTCAGAATGTGAACCACATGTAGACTCAAAGCTTCCATCTGCACATGACAGCGGGGCCTTGCTGTTTGAACATGGATGCATGACCAGTTAGATTCTTTAGAGTTATTGAGAAGAAATGGTCTCCACTGCTGCTTAACTGGCATGTCAGACAAGGCAACTAATTCAGGATTTGCTGAGAGTGAATGCGTTGGGCCGAAAGGTGCAGATATCACCGTCTAGCTGTAAACCACATACCAGAAACGCTTGCCCCTTTGAACTTTAATATCCTTCATACATTGTTTTATTTGGTGCCATTTTATGCCTAGGGTAGTCCACAAAAATTACTGTTTAGTGACAGAGACAATATGATCACAATTTGACTACAAGTAAGTAAAAGTAAAGGACCCTTTTCCATGCCTTTAGGCATGTAGGGCTAGACCTATATTTTTTATAAACCAATCGGCACAACATGGATGATGTGGTCAGCATCACGCCGGCCGATTTTACTTTCCCGGGACTGCACCCGGTACCCACTCAAGGCTGGGTCGACCTAGGAGATAAGGAAATTTTTTTAAAAAGTCCGGCTCCACCAGGGAGTGAACCCACGACCTTCCGATCCGCGGTGAGCGTCTAGCCACTTGGTCACGGCGACTCCCCATTTGACTACAAACATGCACATTTTTCGGCATTATTTTAACTTGTGTCTGCAGTCCCAAACCACTTTGAGTTAATTGAGGGCCTGATTATATTTTTAATGGGGGATGAAAGGAAGTAGAAGATCAATATTCTGTCTATCCATTGTCTTTCTCTGCTTAATGCTGTTAGGCATTGCAGGCACAGCTAATGATAAGTTTCTGGGATAGTGCACACTCCTTAGCTTTACTGCATGGTTTTATTATTGAGTTTCAGCAAGTCGTTAACTCCATCTATCCTTATTCTTTTTGGCCTTTCTACGCGTTATGATGTTTCCATTCTCATAGTGTATGCTCTTGCAACTAGTGATGTTGGTGGACGGATAGACCAACTGCTCTTTAACAAACATATCATATAGAGAAACTAATAAGGAGTATTTAGAAATCATATGTACTGGACTGAAAGGTGCGGATATCACAGACTGGCTGTAAACACAACATGCCAGATATAATTTTAAGGGTCAGTGTTGAAGAAGAAGAAATCTTTCATATTTTTGTTTTCACATTGATGATACATTTTTCAGTTGAATTGTTAACAATTACAATTGCTTTCCTTATCCATAGACTCACCACCCTCTGAGCTTACTGCGAGCTGTCCCACCACCAACAGTGGACAATGACAGGGAACTCAAATACATTGACTTGGCCCTGCCGGATTCCAGCCAGGAGCCACCTCGCTCTTCTCACACTCACGGACATGGCCACACGCACAGCCACGCTCATAACCACATGGACAGAAGCAAAGAATCTGCTACAGAATACAGAGAAATAGACTTTATTAAAACACAAGCTCTTAATGACACCAAGAGAGTGAAAGAGAAAGAGAGAAAGAACGATGACCACAACTGAGGAGAGAGTCAGAATGGCCGACATGATCACAAGTTTTACTTCAAAACGACGTGGACTTTTTACCGCCTGTTTGGGCCTCTGTTCACTCCATAACTTGTAGAAAAGGATGTACCATGTTTTCCCCAAAATAAGACCAGGTCTTATAATAAAATTTTCTCTAAAAGCGTGTGAGGGCTTTTTTTTCATGCGGTGTCTTTTAAAAATTTTGAATAAATATTTGTATAAACAAGTACAAAAATATGTCATACTATAGGTCAAATTTTATTTAAAGAATTAATATCTGTTAACATTCAACTGTATACACAAGGGAGCTAAATGGTTGCGGACCAAGAAGACGATGGAGAGATAATGTCCAGACAGACCTGCAAACACTTGGTGTCACGAACTGGAAAGAGAAGGCCTACCAGAGAGGCGAGTGGAGGCGGGTGATGTCTGCAGAAATGAACTTCAAGATCTTGGAGTGCTGAAAAAGAAGAAGGATATCAGTTTTATTATTTGTTTTGATATTTATTACTTTATGATTCAGTAGGCCCGTCGTGTGTTCCAGCGTAAGACTGAGGTCCATCTGTCTGACTGACGGTCATAACTAGGACATATATTTGAGGTAGGGCTTATATTACGAGCACCCTAACAAATCATGCTAGGACATATTTTTGGGCTGGGTCTTATTTTCGGGGAAACATTGTAAGTTGTTAATTAGAAGCACATGACAAATAAATTATTGATAGAAAATTGAGAATCAGAATTTCTGTAACCAGTAAGTAAAGGTCCCTTTTCCACGCCTTTAGGCGTATAGGGCACATAGGCCCAGACCTATATGTTTATAGACCAATCGGCACAAGATGGGTAATGTGGTCAGCATCACACGGGCCGCCTTTACTTCCCAGGACTGCACACGGTCCCCACTCAAGGCTGTGTCAACCTGGGAGTCAAGATCATTTTGAAAAAAAGTCGGGCTCCACCAGGGAGCGACCCTATGACCTTCCGATTTGCACGTCTAGCTGCTGCGCCACCTCAACTCCCTCTGTAACCAGTTTTTAAATTAAAAAATAAATAAAATATATGTTGTAAAATTCTTCTCAATCTGTCTTCTCACAAGGAGCTGTGTAGTGGGTAGATGCTTGCCTGTAGGCACAAAAGTCTTAGGTTCGAACCCTCACAGACAGGTTTTTCTCCTAAAATTAATCTTGGCTCCCATGTAGACCCAGCCGGAAATCGGTATATGTTATGGGAAGTCAAGGGCGGCTGTCGTGATGTTCACCACAACCACCACCATGTGTCGATTGGTCTCTACAATTATGAGTCTAGCATAATGAGCCTGATATCGACACTGGCATGAAAAGGGAATGCCACAATGTTGCTGGAATACCATAATGTTGCTAAAATAGCCAGTCATGAGACTAGAAGACCATAATGTTGCTTAAGTACCATATTGTGTTGCTAGAATACCATAATGTTGCTTAAGTACCATATTGGGATGCTGGAATACCATAATATGTGGCTAGAATACCACATAGTGTTGCTATAATACCATACTGTTGCTTAAGTACCATATTGTGTTGCTAGAATACCATAATGTAGCTTAAGTACCATATTGTGTTGCTAGATGACCACACTGCTGCTCAGGAACCATATTGCATTGCTGGGATACCATAATGTTGCTTAAATATTCTGTTATGTTGCTAGAATACCATACTGTTTCTAAAGTACCATATTGGATTGCTGGAATACCATACTGTGTGGCTAGAATCCACATTATGTTGCTAGAATACTAAACTGTACTGCCTTAATATCAAAGTATGTTGCTGAAATACCATACTGTGTTGGTGAAATACCATATTATGTTGCTGTGAATTCACACAACACAACAGTTAATGTCTTTTTAGGACAGTTAAACATAAAAATGGATATTTGTCACCACCTGTAGTTTGCCAAATTTATGATCCAGAAGCCTGCCGTGTCAAGTGTCTTGTAGATAGATAGATACTTATAGAGGGTAATGCTGACATTCTTTTGTGACCTTTTAACCTCAGTTAATGAGTACTGCCACAGTATTGTCATGAATACTGCCGTAATATTGACATTGCATTCATTGAATTGTGTCTTAACTGCAGTAAGTGTATCCATTGTTGTACCATTTGTGTTTGGGTTTTTATGGGAGTAATGTTTGAGAAAGGTATAAATCATGAGGGTCGACTTCATTACATCTGATTTGATCCTATACGGTTTGCGTCTTTTTGCAGAACAGCCGGTTTGCCCGCTAAGAAGTAATGTACAGGAGTTGATAATTTGTTGACTGAATGTAGAGAATTTGACAGCAGAAGTGTTCAGACTCTGAGAATATTTATTACTGTGAACTTTTTTCACTGCCCATGGTTCCCTTGTGGGTTTCAGGGCCCTACTTTTGGGACACCCCCCCCCCCCTCCCCTCCCCAACAACATGTTCTAACAGGCAGCTAATTACCAACTAATGAAGGGTTTGCTGAAATGCCAACCACCCATTGAATGGCGAAGGAGAACTTCAGCCCATGGAACAGAGCCATAAGTGCTAAATTACGCTGGCGGTTTTTGATAATAATAATAAAGGAAAGCAACCATTTGTGTTCAAGCGGTAGTGTAATATTGTGAGGAGCGGCTGGCCAAACGGTTAAGAGCTGGGCTTTCCTGCAGGTGACCCAGGTTGGAATCCCTAGTAAGGTTGTAAATTTGTGCTGTAAGGGACAAAAATACAATCCCAACCTGCACAGAAGAATTCTCGCATGCTATATAGAGCCAGTTTAAACATACAGCTGTTAATCCTGGAAAATTAAGAAACAAGCCGAACAATTTTTTGAGGCTTTGGATATGTGGTTTCACAGAAGAATCCTTAGAACTCCTTGAATCGAGATGTTTTTAAAGAGGTGAGGACTTGAAGACAACTTATCACAAACATCAGAAAGAGACAGTCATAATTTTTTGGGGTCATGTTACGAGAAAAGGGAAACTGGAACATGCTGTGACCACTGGAAAGAGAGACAGAAGAAGACAGTATGAGATGATTCTTTACAGCCTTGTGTTATGGCTTGCAGGGGTGTGGACACACAAATTGATACACGCAGTTGCAGATCTCATTGTGGAGAGGCATGATTGCCGACACCTGTCGGCAAGGCCCTTGATGATGATCATAAACCAGCACAGTCTGAGGCAACAGCACTAGCCATGCAGCTCTAAATCCCTAGGCTTACAGACCAGACCCCCCGCCGCCTACACCGCACAAGTGGTACGAACGAACAAACTTTATTTTCAAAGGGTCACAAATTGGGCCCTTCCAAACACCCATCTTTCACAGAGCAGTTGTATTTTATCAGTAAAGCATGTTGTATTCGTATTATAATATGCACATTATGAATATCAAGAAAAAACAAAAGCATAAGTTGTAAAATGCATGCACATGCTCTCGCACACCCACATGCATGCTCACATACATACACATTTACACACAAACACATACATACATACATACATACATACATACATACATACATACATACATACATACATACATACATACATACATACTGTTGTAATCTTATAGTCCAAGAGTTAAAGTTTCTTCTAGTTTCTTCTAGTGGTCATAGCGCAGGTGAAAGGTTCACACAGCGGCCACCGGTCGGGTCTGTTACCTGGGATACCAGCTAATTGAATGCTGGGCGATTAACACAAAGGCTCCTGCAGAACACAAAGGATTCGGCAGTTGAGATATTTCCATTGTCCAAGTCGGACGTGTTTCCGCGGGGTTAGCGGAAACTGTGTTGGCTCTCTGTATGAGGATATTATAGAAACGTTTTCTCTTTGTGAGGTTTTGATTTACCGTTGTTTGCGGGAGACAGTTCAATGTCTATTTACTTATTTTAATGGCAGGAGCCCATTGAGAAAAGCTGCTGTAATCTTTTATATCATCAGCATAGATAATGGAGATTTATTATCGTACATGTTTTATTGAATAATCATCATCATCTTGTGACGTGTAACTTTAATGCCATTAAAGTTTATGTGGCCTGTCACAAGCGTTATTGTTGGCTTGTAAAGGTAGCGACTGTATTACATGATGCTGTGTCGGTGCCAAGTGTGCCAGTTATAGAATGCAGGACTTCACTGTAGCACATCCATCAAGGAGATATCCAGCGGAATACTAGAATAGGCACCCTAGGCCTAAATACTTGGTTGAATATAAAGTATACAAAAGAATGTACAAATTAAGTGTACAACAGTGGATGGCCAAGCCGGTCCTTTGATGGATTTATAAACAGTGTTGATTTATCCAGTGTTCGTGCTACTGACTGATAATCGCTTGAACGAATACATTTAACTGTTCGCACATACACGTTATAAATTAACGGATCCTGAAAGGAGTTATAAACTATTTTGTTTACGTGTATGCAGTGCTAACGGGTGTTTCTAGCAGCTTTACGAACTTATCGGACATACGTGAACTAACAGTAGGCCTTAATTGATTTACAGCTGTATAAAGTGCTGGTGACATTAGCAGTGTTATTTGACTCTATAGAATTACGCGTTTGTTCTGCCGTAATTGACATTCTTCAACGGAGTTTGGCAGTGGATGCTTGAGTTTCGCATCATTACTACTAGGTTCCTGTTCGCAGTACGACGCCTGAGGATCGCAGTACGATGCCTGAGGATCGCAGTACGACGCCTAAAGATCGCAGTACGACGCCTAAGGATCGCAGTACGATTAAGGATCGCATCGACTTGAGGATCCACGCTTACGACGCCTAAGGATCGCATCTGTGGATTTTAAATCGGGTAATGTTTTTTGTTGACGGATGGGAGTTGTGTTGTGTGCTCGTTTCGTCTCATAACATATCCGAGGTGTTAGAGTGAATGATTATCATCCATGTTTTCTGTTATTTGTAACTTTAATATATCAGCTCATTGAGTTTGGGATGACATATTAGTTCTTTTCTTCAGCTTTTCTTGTCAAATTGGCGGCTCTGATAAAG